AACGTAAAAGAAAACAAACAGACAAACAAACAAACAAAGAAAAAATAGAGTAAGATGAAAAAAAGTAAATAATTAATTTTAATAAAAAACACATTTGACGTGCAGGAAAAAAAATAAAAACAATTGTTTAAATATTTAGAATTTAAAAAAAAAATGAAAATTCGATATATCGATCATTTATTTAATCGATCGATCGATCGATCAACGACATATCGAATTTTTTTTTTTAATCTCGCGATCAGTAAAATTAATAAATAAAAAAAAAGTCGTTCGAATTAAATTTTAGTTTTTTGTTCGCATTTTTTTTTATTTTTCACAGACTGAATGATACAAGGAATTTTGGGGCCTGCGCCCCCCGTTTCATTACTCCCCGGTCAACAACTTGGCACGGCTCCTTCTCCATGGCCGACTGGAATATCAACTCCAGATGACATGCCACACAAAGGTAATTTTTATTTTTATTATTTTTACTCCTTTCCCGGTCCCGTATTCCCAATACGTAATAAAATTATTTTCGTGTCATTAGAAATTTTTTTTTTTTTTTTTGAGTTATCTAAAAATTTAAACCTGAAAAATTTTCTTTTATGACGTCATAAACCTTTCTATTTAAATTTTCGTATAATTGTTTGTGTCGTTGCGGTGCAAACGCGTCGCACATATTTTTTTTTTTTTTTAAATTTGCTGTTTTTCATTTTCTTCTTTTTTTAACTTTTTCTTATTTTTTTACCACACACTTGTCTAAACACAACAACAAACAAACAAACAAACACAGAAAACATTTTTTTTGTCTTAAAATTTTTTTTGCGAGTTTTTTTTTTAGTTTTTTCCAACCGGATATTTTTTGTGATAAAACCGAAAAATTTGTCGAATTGTTTAAATTATCTAAAATCACGAGTCAATACGAGTTTGTTTAAATAAAAAAATAATAATAATAAGTGACGTCACACAGAAAAAAAATTTTCACGGTGACAATTATGGCGATCGACACACGCATATTGGATTTGATTTTTTGTATTTTTTTTTTTTTTTGTTTTGCCATTTATCGCGGCTTATCTTTCACACGTTGATTTTTTATAATGGAAAAGGGTAACGCACACACGCACGCACACACACAATAAGAGGGAGAGAGATAGAGAGAGATGAAAAAAAAACTCAATTTAGATGTGAAATCTGTCGCGTAGAAAAAAAGAATCGACATTAAAACGGTGACATTGTCGTCGTCGTCGTCATTTTTCCTGTCGGTAAAATTTTCAATGGGGTAAAAATAAAAATTGGGGCCTTATTTTAAAGGGGTTAATGGTTCCGATATGACGCCAAGAATTTTGAATATATATATTTTTTAAACCCCTTAAAAAAATTTCATCTTCATTATCATCTTTTTCTTTTATAAAACGTTTAAATGATTTCATTTGTAAAAACTTTATTAATATATATACATAGTTTTCTCGTTCGGAAAAAACCGTTTACGTTTATGTTTTGCATATATTAAAATAGGGTCTTTTAACGATGAGAAAAATGAGAAAAAAAAAAATTTTTTTTTAAATAATTCCAGGTTTTTGTTTCTTTTTTACTCCTTCGTTTCCTTTTTTTGGAAAATGACTGGATATTTTTTTTTCTTTCTTTCATCCCCCCTCCCCCTAAAATCTTGTGAGAATCAAATTTGTCAAAATGGCTATCTTATGTATTTAATTCTTTGATTTTTCTTTCCAAAAAAAAAAAAAAAAAAGAAAATTCGAAAGAGCAACAGTCAAAAAATTATAACGGTACGTTGATCCCAACGGAGGGATAAAAAGAAGGTATCACGTGTTTCCGTTACGTTTTTTCTTTACGAAAAAAGAAAGTCACGTGACTACTTTACTACTTTCAGTTTTTTTTTTGAGAATCAGTCATTGGGATGCTGCGGTTAATGGACCGTGCCACGATTGTCTTTTCAACCGTTTTTTTTTTCTCACTGACGATTCTCATTTTTTTGTTTGTTTCTTTTTCGTACGTTTTTCTTTTTTTTATTTGTTTTGATTTTTCATTACAAAAAATTGTACTTAATCTCCCCTCACCCCCCCCCCGAGAAAAAAATAAAAGTGATACGATGGCGGTCGTGAATTTGTAGGGTCGAGGGTAAAAAAAAAATTTTGGAATTTTTATAATCTATAAAATTTAACGCGATATAAATCATACGAGTATCATCTTCTCCAGTTTCCAAAAAAAAAAAAAAAAATATATACAAAAATTGTCGCATGGAAAGGATTCGATCGAGTTTTTACCACCATCACCAACACTTGAAGATGAAAGAAAAGGAAGAAGAAGAAGAAGAAGAAGAAACCACAGAAACGATTCATTCGGTGATTACAATCCGTGTTAAAAAAGGGGGTAGGAAAACAAACACGCGCGCACGCGGGGGGGGATAGGGAAGTGTAGAAGTAAATGGATAATGGAAGGTTTATTTTCCAGTGCGTGAAATCATCCCCCCGAGACTCAACTCAATTGACCCAAATGGAAAATGAAATTCAATGGAGAATTAATAAAATACACGCTGGAGGGAATGAAAAAGAAAAAATTTTTTTTCCTTTTTTCATTGATGTTTATCAGTTTAAATAAATAAATTTTTTTTTTACGCGACAATCCGTACCTGATTCATTCATACCTTTTTCTCCAGCAGGCACCACATCATCCCGCGTTCCCCCCATTTTGGAATTTTACAATTTTTTAAAATTATTTTAATTGTTTCGGGGAGAGATAAAAAAATATTTCAAGTTATCCACATCCACTTCTCGCAAAATTTACGTTCCGGTAAAATTTTTCTTTTAACCTCTTCCGTTTCCGGTCCCGGAATTTTTTTTTTTTTAAGTAAACCGCGTTTTTATTTTTTTTCTCTCTCTCATCTCGTTGTCCGATGATAAATTATTAAATAATAAATGCCGGTTTCGTACAAATGGTTGTTGTTGTTGTTGTTGTTACTACTACTACATTACAAAGATTTTTTTTTAACAAAAGAACAAAATGCTCTGGAATGGGGAGAACATGGAGAGAAAAAAAAAAAATTGACCGACCTGGAATTTTTAATAGTATTACATGTGTTTCATCCATTGTGTGCCTGTCATTCAGGTTTTTCGACGTTAAAAATATTTTTTTTTTTTTTCAAATAAATAAATAAATTTCAATTATTATTATTATCATCATCATCATTATTATCATTATCGTTTCGTTTGTTATTGGTCTCACCCCTGATGGTCTCAGAATTCGGCAAATTTTTCTTTATAAGTAAAGTGACCGGATATTTTTCACAATTAAACGTTTTACTAAAAGGTCGCCATCTTGTTTCTCCGTGAGAAAATTTTTGTTTCCGTTCGTTTTTTTTTTTTTGTTTCGTCCTGTTCAGAAATTTCCATTTTTGGAAAAATGATTTTCTTTTTATCAACGAGAAAATCGTTTTGTAAAAAAGAAAAAAAACTTATCGTTTCTACTGGAATTCTGGAGAAAAAAAAAGTATATCTCGAAGCGATAGATATCGAATCGAAATTTTGTGTTTACACGTTGACCACCGTTAAAAAAAAATTTTTTTCTATGTGTGTGTTTGTTTTGGGTGGTCAACATGTTTTTTTTTTCTCCTTACAGTCTTCTGCTTTTTAACATTCGAATGTGTGACGTCACAGTAATTAAATTTGATATTTATCCGATTGATTTGTTGTTGTTGTTGTTGATAAGAACTCGTTTTTTTTGGCTTGAGTTTTTATATCCGGCAATTAAATTTTCTCGTTTGTCCTTCCCCTCCCCCCTCTCTCCCTCTCTCTTCATTTCCTCGTGCTTACGTCATAAGTCGACAAAAAATTAATTTTTTTTTTTATTCCTTCGTTTAAAATTTCGGAAAAATTCCATTTTTCAAAGGAAGATACACAATAAAAAAAAATAGAAGAGCATGGCTTTAATAATAATGATAATAATAATAATAATAATAATAATAATAATAATAATAATAATAATAATAATAAGGTATTGAAATAACAGGTGTCCGTCGAGGGTTGAATGGAAAAAACATTCTATTGAATATTTTTTCAAAAAAAAAAAATTTTTAATAAATATAAGGAAAAATATGAGTGTTTGTGTGTTTGTCGGAGAGTCGTCGGCGTTTCGTGTGTGCGTGTGTACGCACTTCCACCCCCCTCCCCCCACACTTGAAATCCGCTCGTGAACCTTTTTATTGTTGCCTTTTAAAAAGGTTCTTACTCGTTGATACGGTTATTAGTACGGAGTGTAAAGAAATCGTCTCATCAAAACATTCAAAAGAAAAGGAAAAAAAAAGTAAATTTTGTTGTTTCCTTTCATTCAACTTTTTTTTTAAATAAATTATTTCCAGCGGTTTTTTTTTAAAGGTACGAAAGAAGGCGGTTTTCGGTTGTTGAAAACCTTTTTTTTTTGATTACAAAAGAAAAAAAGAAGAAGAATCTTTCTAGAAGTTTTTTTCCACAACTCTTGAAAAAAAAAAATTTTTATCTCCATCTCACTCACTTCATTCGATTCATAATTACGCATTCTCCCCAGTTTACGTAATAAAAAAGAAAAACATGGCGCCGGATGAGTAATGATAATAATAATAAAACAATTCCAGCAGAATAAATTATTGAAATCGTTTATTATTATTATTATTCGACACTACGACGATTTTTTTTTATTTGTTTGTTTGTAGATTTTTTCGTATAATAATTTATATATTGATTTTTTATAAAAACCTTGAAAATTTTCCAGGTACGTACCTACACCACGGGTTTTCGAAATAAATATTCGATATCAAAAAAAAAAGAAAACATTGGGTGGGTGGCAAACTAATCACTTTACAGGTTCCGCATCAAAAAATTTTATAAAAAAAAAAAAAACTTTTGTTTGTACGAAAGAAATTCTAGAAGATTCTAAAAGTTAAAAACTATATCAAATTACAAATACATATAAATTCTACATACCAATACGTCAGTCGTGATGATGATATTCGGTACCTTTCGGTATCATTTATGCTTGGTTAAATTTTTGTCATTTTCTCTCTATCTCTATCTCTCTCTCTCTCTCTTATCATCATTATTATGTTGTTGTGTATTTCTCTTGTTTCTCATCGATGGAAAACAAGTTGTCAATTCGAATGAAACCTAAAAGAAAAATTCTTTAAAAGTTTTCTCTTCGTTTTCTTTTTGTACCTTTTTATGCGTCGACGCACAAGCACTCACACGCACAATCAACCCTTCCGCCATATTTGATAATAAAAAAAAAAAATTGTAGATGATAATTTATTGTTTGTAGTTTCGTATTTCGATGCAGGGCACAGCGGTGTTAATCAACTGGGGGGAGTTTTCGTGGGAGGTAGACCACTCCCTGATTCAACGAGGCAGAAGATAGTAGAACTAGCTCATTCCGGTGCTAGACCTTGTGATATATCAAGAATTCTTCAAGTATCTAACGGCTGTGTATCGAAAATATTAGGACGGTAAGTACCACCACCACCATCGATCGGTTATTTAATTACGACACCACTTGAATTTTCCTTCCCCCCCTTATATCGATGGTAAAAATCCACTCGTGACACCACTCGGTTGTTAAACACCGGTTAAAATTAATTTAAAATTGTTTTTTTTTTTTTTTTGGATTTAGGTACTACGAAACTGGTTCGATAAGACCTAGAGCCATTGGTGGTTCTAAACCAAGAGTTGCCACGACGGAAGTAGTTTCAAAAATATCACAATTTAAAAGGGAATGCCCATCGATATTTGCATGGGAAATAAGAGACAGATTGTTACAGGAAGGAATATGTACAAACGATAACATTCCAAGCGTAAGTTTTTCACTTTTTCACTTTTCTGACGTCATCATCGTAACGAACTATTTTTTTTTTTTACTGCCACGTCAAAAAATTTTAGGAAATAAAATTGAGTAAAAAAAAAAAACAAATTGAAAAGGGAAAAAAAATAAATAAAATGTGGCGAAAAATGGCGCACGAGAAAAAAGTAACGACGGTCCCTCGTTTCGAAAATTTTCTAACATTTTTCATGCATTATGGATGAGATGATTTTCTTTTCTATCTTGAGGGGGGGGAAGCGCGGTGTCGGTTTTTACTACCGACACTTTTTTTTTCAATGAATCGTTTTCCTTTTTTCCTTTTCTTTCCTTTCCCTTTTCTTCGTTACACTTTCGTCCTTTTATTTAAACGATGATGATCATAATAATACTAACAACTTTTGAAAAGAGGAAAACATTTATCGTTTTCCCAGAAAAAAAAAAAAACGTTTTCCAAATCGTAACCTTAACATACTAAAAAAAAAAAAAAAATTTATTTAAATTATATTCTAACTTCCGGTTTCCGGTTTTATAAAAAAAAAAAAAAAAAATTAAAACTTTTTCATTTATTTTCATTTCCGTACCTGATGATCGTCATCATAAAAAAAAAAAAAATTCTTTTACAAACTTTTTTTTTTCCAATCTTTTTTTAATAATAATAATGATGATGATGATAATAATAATAATGATAATTAACGTCGTTTGTTGAAGAGAAAAAAAAAAAATTTTTTTTTTTAAAACAACAAACAAAAATTTTTTTTTTTTTTTTGTTCTCCCCGAATGGATTTTCTTTTATCCAGTTTCTTTTATCTTTTTAGTGTTTGTTGTTGTTTGTTGTTGTTTAGTATCATCATCATCATCGTCATGGAAGATTTTCTTCTAGTTTTCCAGAGCTTAATTTTCTTTCTTTTTTTTTTTCTCATTAAAAAAAATCGTTTCGAGTCGTGAGAAAAAAATGTAATCGTTTAATACGATAATGAGAATTTTGATTTTGTTTGTTTGTTCGTTTGTTTATTAATTTTTTTTTTATATACGTACAAACGGACGTTTGTTTTATAATTAAAAAAGTTTTTTTTTTTGAAGGGGAGGGAGGGAGAGAAAAAGAATTTAACCGATGAAATCTTAAAAAAATAAACAAACGCGAATACTTCATAAAAACGATCAAAAAAAAAAAAAAAATTTTTGTTTGTTTGTTTGTTGTTTTTAAAAAAATTGGAAAGAGAAAGGAAAAAGATAAAAGAAGAAAACAAAAAAAGCACGTACGTATACAAACAAACAAACAAACAAATCAATTTTAAATTAATAGTTGGAAAAAAGGTTAAACGTGAAAAGTTTAAATTCCTTTAACTAAATTTTAAAACAATTTAAAAAGTCTAAAAAGAGAGAAGAAAAACGGAAATAGTTGAAAGGAAAGGAAAGGGAAGGGAAGGGAAAGGAATAAAAAGTAAAATAAAAGGACTGTAAGAATACGTAATGGAATTAAATCGAAAAAAAAAAAAAAAAAACAGGAAGAAGAACTTTCTATAAAAAAAAAAAAATTGGCAAATCTTTTAAGATTTTCATACGAATATTCCAAAAGATTTTTTTTTTTCTTAACATTTCCTTTTTTCCACCGAAACTTCCGCCCCCCCACAATATTCTGGTGAACACCGACGGTGGTGGTGGTTCGGTTGTGTCGAACGAACAAACGTTTGTTCAATGAAATTCTTAAGTTAAGGAAAAGCTAAGTGTTAGAGAAAGAACGGAAGTTAAATTTTTTTTTTTACTTTTCTCCTGACCTGTTTCCGCTCTCTCTCTCTCTCTCGCGATTTTTCCACACTTTCGCATCCCCTTTTTTTAAAACTTATTCCACCCTAATACAAAATCCCCCATTTGAAATTTTCCTTTTTTTTTTTTTTTAAGAGGGAAAAGAAAAGTTTTTCCGACCATTATTTGTCTGAATATAAATTTTACTTACTTTTCTTCTGCTTTTTTTTCCCCGTAAATTTTTAAATTCTTAGAGTTTCTTTCGTATATATATAAACATTTTCGTTCGTTTGTTTGTTTTAACGGGTACATCGTATTTATTTGATGGAATTTTTTTCAGGTATCATCAATAAATAGAGTTTTACGTAATCTTGCTGCACAAAAGGAGCAACAATCACAATCGGCTCAAGTTCCAGCTCCGTCCGAATCCGTTTATGATAAATTGAGAATATTAAATGGACAACCAGGTTGGCCGAGGCCTAATCCGTGGTATCCGACAACCGGCGGAAGTCCTTTTTCAAATTTACCACCGAGTATTTCTCCTGGTCATCATTCTTCGTGCACTATTTTGCCCGATTCCGACATTCATTCGAAAAAGAGTAAGTTTTTTTTACTATTTTTTTTATTTTCATCTCTCTCTCTCTCTCTCTCTCATCCTCTTACCCCCTCTCTCTTCGTGACAATTAACACGTACAAACTCCACCTTTTTTTTTTTTCTTTTTTTTTTTTCTCTATTTTATTTAAAAAATTTTTTTTTACCAATTATTATATTTAAACACAAAAGAAGGGAGAGAATGAGGATAGATCGGGATGAGAAAGAGAGAGAAAGATTAAAAAGATAAAAAGGGAAGTAAGTAAAAGGTGAATACTGTTTGTGGCCTTTCAACAGCAATCCAGCCCTCCGGGATATTTATTGTTTTGTTATAAAACGATACATCTCCAAAATTTTTTATTTTCGCGAGAAAAACAAATTGAGGGGTAGTAAGAATAATCTAATGACACGATCGAAAAATTTTTTTTTTCCCCCCTCCATATCTCGACGAATACAAATAATAATAATACTAATTACAAGAAGAAAAAAAAATGATTAATTTTTTTAAACGCGGGAGAAAAATTTACAAAAAACAAAAAATTCTATTTCCACGTTCTTTTTTTTCTGTTTCCGTTAAATAAAATTTATATGGATAAACGTAGGTATCGATTTATTAAACATATAGTTAACACCGATATAAATAAATTGAAAGGAAAAAAGAAAAAATTATAACTGGTAACGACGTGAACAATTGCAATTTAAAAAAAAAAAAAAAAAAGAGTTTAAGGGATGATGATGACTTGCCAAAGGGAAAAAAAGGAAACCCTATTTAACCCCCTTTTGGGTCATGATACTTTATTCTTTGTGGTACTACCACCGCCAAACAGCTTCGAGCGCGTACTACCTCTTTTTTCCCGTCTACTTCCACGTCTATCCGCCCATTTCAAAAAAAACGATTCCTTTGATACAATGTTACCATCACCACCACCACCACCACCTTGTTTTTATTTATACGGTTAAACTAATAAACAGTTTAAAAGGCAAATTGATTATTTAAACTCATCATCATCATCATCATTGTTTTAATTTTTAACCCTCGATTAAATAATTCTATTTACACGACTTTTTTTTTGTTAAATCCACGACGGTTTTTAATTTTATTTTTTTGATTTGTGTGTGTTTGTCGTTTTTTTTGTCGAGAAATTTTTTATATACGACCTTTTGATAATTTTCGATTACGCGTCGTGTAATTAGACGATTGTTAAAAGTATCTTTCGTACGTGTCAATAATTTCCCCCCCCCCGGTTTACTACGTAAAAGTTTAAAAAAATACCGACGCTACCGACATTTTTTTTCCGTCGTTTGCCCTTAGTTACCCATCGTAATTTTTTCGTCTTCCTCTCCTTCCCGAATCCTATCCCGACTTCGTTCCCGAGAAAAAGAAAAACGTTAAACGTTATTATCCGATGAAAGAAAGAAAAAAAAAAAGGAAGAGAAAGAGAGAGAGAGAGAAAAAATTTTCCTTTTTTTTTTTTTGTTTTACTAATCGATGAAAAGATGATGATTCGCCATGGAATGAAATGAAGCAAACGTCTGGAGTAAGTTATGAAAGCTCAGTGGTGGAAACAAAGGAAGGAGCCGGGGAGACAAAAATCAATACCCCAACCCTGTGACGTCACACACAAAAAAAACCACCCCTGTAATAATAATAATAATAATAATAATAATAATACCTTATTTTTTTAACTAAAAAATGGTGCGTACGAACGAATAGAGTAAATTTTTCATTGACTTTTATTTTAAAAAAAAAAAAAATCAAAACTGGGAAAAATTCTAATATTATTATTATTACACGGACGATGACGTGTCAGAAGACAAAAAAATTTTTTTCACGCGGATTTATATTATGGATTTTTTAACCCGTCGTCTACGCTTAATAATAAAATTTTTTTATTATTTTCCACTTTTGAGAGTTTTCTGAAGAGAACAAACAAAACGTTCAGGGATCGACTAAGGAATTTAAAAACGATTAAAATTTACGTATCGATAAAAAATTAAATCAGTACCGTAATTAGTATCATTTTTACTGTTATCGAAGAATTTTTCTGTTAATGAAAACAAGAGAGAAAAAAAAATGTCAACCTGTTCATTCATTTTAATTATTGTTCGGTAACAATGAAGAAAAAAAAAAAAAAACCATTTCTTGCATATTGTCAATTGACTCTCTCTCAAAGAGAAAATAATAATAATAATAATAATAATAATAATAATGAATTGCGGTGGTGCATAGTCAAAAGAGGGAAATAAATAAAGTGAGACTGAGAGACTGAGAGAGATGGGGGGAGGGGCGGAGGGAGGGGGAATGGAGGAACGGGGGAACGTGGAGGAAGGGAAAAAAGAAAATAAATAAAAGAATTCCAACGGTGCCAGAGAAAATTTAAAAAAAAAAAAAAATAGAAACAAAAGAAGAAAAAAAGAAAAAAAAGAAAAAATGAGTTCTCAAGAATCCTGCTGTGACTTTACCATTGTGATATTTTTCCTTCTCTTTATTGACAACCGAAATTTTCTCATAATGTTTAAACATACGCGCGTAAAAAAAAAAAAATCAGACGAAATTCGAATTCGAAAAACATCGATTTCTAATTAATTAACTAAAAACGATACAATCTACGTTTTTAACTTCCGGTCGTACTATGACGTCACACATTAAAATTTTCCTACGATTAAATGACGCACGCGTAATATAAATTCTAACTCTATTTGTCGTCTGCTATTGTTTTTGTTTTGATTAGTATTCCCTTCTTTTAAATTCTTTTAAAAATTACGTTATTATTATTATTATCATTATTATTATTATTTCGAAATTAATGAAAATTAAAAATGACTCGGGGAGATTTGACTGCTGAAAAAGGTTTGGGATGGGGCGAAGCAGCAGAAAAGGAACACATGCAAAGGTTGATTTGGTTCATGAGAAATTATGATAAACTCGTCGAAGAAAATCGAAAACCAAGAAAAAAATTAACCGAAGGGGTAAAAATTTTCCAACTTTAACATCGATATATCGATCAATCGATTGATCGATCCATCAATCGATCCATCGATCGATAAATCGATATATCGAAATTATCATTAATATTTTTTTTCGAAATATAAAAAGGAGTCGAAATTTTATTTAAATAATGCGATTCGATTCGATAAATCGATTAATCGAATTTTCGAGGGGAAAAATTTTCAACGTTTTTATTTACAAATTTAAAAATAAAAAAATAATTTTTTTTTCGTCTTATTTTTTTTTTTTATTTTAAATTCGTTTTCGGCGAGGGGGGGAGGGAAGAAAAAATGGGGGCTCCGGGTAACGAAAAATTTTTCGGGGGTTACGACAACAGATTTTCAATATTTTTCGACGAGGAAGTAAAAAAAGATTCGATAAGAAAATTTAAATGGTTTGAAAATTATTACGATCTTTGCTACGGTAAATTACCAAAGGAGCAAGTACCGAAAGGAGCAAAAGTAAGATTATTAATTTTAAAAAAAAAAAAAGCTCCTTTTTAAAAGGGAAGGAATTTGGGGGGTGGTGCGTAGGGTTCGGAGGGGGAAGGGGTAAAATTACACCGCTTTTATTTTTTGATTTAATGTTTTAAAAAATAAAAAATAAAATTAATTTAAAACGATTAGATACTATTGGACGCCATATTGAAAAAAAGAGCAGAAACGGCACAAAAGACTCCGAGATATTTTTACAAAAAGGAAAAAGATCCTGTTTTTGTCGCAGACGAAACTATTAATTTATCACCCATGAGACCCGTACCACCGGAAATACACGATCTCATTTATCAAGGTATTCCCTCCTCCTTCCTATCCCTTACCCCCCACCCAAGTTTCCTTTTTTTTTGGGGGAAAAATCATCATCATCCCTTGATATTTATAGGAATAAGTCACGAAGACGAAGGACGTAAGGGATATTTAAAAGTACGATACCAAGATGATCCGGAAAAGAAATTTTATCACATCGATTGTAGTAATTGGGTTTACGGTTGGAACATGAAAGATTTCGATTCTCATAAATTAGTGAGATACCCGAGAGTACAAATAATAAAACAATCATTTTATAGAAGAGGAGGCGTCGAAAGAGATCCAGATGATCATAGGGATGCTGTTAAAACCGAAGCTCCAGTTGCTTTTCCACAACTTTAATAAAAAAAACAAAACAATTTTCCAAACCTTAAAAATAATTTTTCTTTTTATTTATAATCATATCACGTGACGACGACGTACACAAACATACCCAACGATTAATACAAACTCACGTGGTCACGCAAAAAATTTACTTCCGGTTAACGAAATTTAAATTTTTCCTCTCTCTCTCTCTCTTTCTCTTTCTCTCTCTCATTAAATCAAACTTGCGCAAAAAAAAATTTCCCAAAAAAATCTCTACTACACCGGACCATTTTTTTTTGGGGGAAAAAAAAAAAACGAGCGGGAAAATGGGGAAAAAAAAGAGAAAAAACGGGAGGGGGAAGGGGAAGGGAAATTTATTATAAAATGACGTTAAACTCTTATATAAATCATTTACGTAAACGTCGTTTTCTTTTTTTTCCCTCCCCTCTCCCCTCTCCCCCGCTTTATTTTTCCTATGTATATATATATATTCGATTTAAATAATTACGACGGATTTTTTTTTTTTTATGTAGAAGGGCTCAAATAAGGGATGGAAAGAAGAATATCTGAAAAGCAAAGGAAATTATTAACACTCAAATGATTCTATTTCAATATTGAATAAAGGGGAGGACTCAGGGGGTGCTGTGCACAGACGTTCATTCTGATCTCTCTATCTATTTGTAAAAAAAAAAAAAAAAAAAAAAATTTTCTTTCTCTCTTCCACTCTCTTCCCCTCTCTATCTCTCTCTATCTCTCTTTCTGACTTTTTGCTTTTCGCTTTTCGTTGTTTTTGAAATAAAAAAATAACCGGAAACAACAACAACACCAGCAACAAAAAAATCGACTTTTTATTTTATTTAACTAACACACGTGAGAGGAGGAGGCGGGGCGAGGGGCGGTGGGGGCAGGAAGGAAAATAAAATGAAATTAATAATTATAATAATAAACCGCGGAAAAAAATAATAAGTAGTTTCGTACTCCTACGTCAATAATAGGGAGGTTTTTCGGTATTTTTCAACCCCAATAACTAACTAATGAAAGATTTACCCTGATTCGATCATCCCGTTATAACATCCGATTATCATCATCATCATCATCCCTTAAAATAGTTTTTTTTTTTCGGGGCTTTTGATGGGGATGATTTAAACTTTTTAAATCGGTATGGATTTAAGAATGAGAGAGAGAGAGAGAGAGAGAGAGAGAGAAGAGCAGCAGAAGTTATAAGAAACGTTTGATTTAAATTTGTTTTTTTTTTTTTTTTTTTGCAACATCGAATGATTTTTAATAGTGGAAATAAGGAGAGAAAGTTTAATGACACGTTCGTTTGTAAATGATAATAAGTGGTGGTGACACGTCGAAATTAAAAAATGACAAACAAACAAACAGACAGATAGACAAACGGGGGGAAAACCAACGTTTAATTTTTAAAAATTTTACGTTTTTTTTTTCTTTTTTTTTTTTTTTTGGTTAATTTGGTAACACGATTCGTTCGGGGTTGTTTTCATTTTTTTTTTGTAATTTTTAGGGGTTTTCGCCCCATTTAAACAAACAAAAAATAAAAATTAACCCCCCGCCAAAAAAAAAAAAAAATGTATTCGCTTGGAAATAATTAAATTTTTTACAATTATTGAGAAAAAAAAAAAAATTCAAAAACCAGATTTTTTTTTTTTACGAGGGGGAGGGTCGAAGGGGAGGACCGAAGGGGGGATGATGAAAATTATGACGTAAAAAAAATTTTTAAATACGTCACATTGTGTGTTTGTTGATGTCCGAATAATATTTTCACAAAGAAAAATTTTTTTTTTTTGTCTTTTTTTGTTTCATCCCCCAAAATCATGTAACCGGTACAAATCGTTTTAAGAGGGGGTCTGTAGTGGGGGGGAGGTTTGGTGATTTATAAAGAATTACCAAAAAAAATTTCCAAAATGAAAAAATATGCGATTCAATTTTTTTTTTTTAATTATGCGTTTTCATCGTTTAAAAATCATTTTCTCTCTCTCTCTCTCTCTCTCTCTCTCTCATTGTCTTACTCTTACTCTTTTTCTCTCAGCACCTCTCTCTCTCTTAAAGTTTCCTTTTTTTTTATTTAATTGCAATAAAAGAATTTAACAGTAGATAAAAGAATCTATGAAATTAAAATGCCGGACACACGTCAGGGTGGCGCTTGTAACAAAAAAAAATTTTTTTTTTATCAGAAAATGTTTATTAAAAAATTTAACCCCATCTTTTTCTCTCTCTCTCTCTTTTTACTTTTATCATTTCACATCCCCTAACTTCCTCTCTCTCTCTCTTTCTCTTTTTTTTTTCTAAAAAAAAAAAAAAACTTTAACAACAACGCATTATTATTATTATTTTTAATACTGAAATCATCCAACAGGAATTTCTTTTTTTTTTATTAAAAAAAAAAAAAAATTACATCGGCTCCCTATTATATTAAAAACAACCTTTCCCCTCCCCTTCCTTTCTCCTCTCTCTCTCTCTCCCTCCCACTTTTAGTATCGTAACCGTGTATAATTTTTAAGAATCGTATTCTTTATTTTGCGTGTTTGTTTGTCCATTTGATTCGGGAAATTTAAAAAAGGAAAATTTCTTTTAGTATATTAAGAAAAAGAAAAAAAAATTCTAGAATAATTTTCCGACAGGAAAAAGAAAAAAAAAGGAAAAAATAATTTCGGAAGGGAAAAGAAAAAGGATCATAACGAATACGAATTTCCGTTAACACACACACTCTCAATTCATTCTTTCCTTCCTTCCTTCTTCCTTTCTTCCTTCCTTTCGAAAACATTTATAAATATTTATATACACTTTTATGTGCCGTCGTCGTCGTCATCGTCGACGTCGACGTCGCCGCCGACGACGACAAAATTTCCTCGAATAAAATTCAAGTCCTCGATGTTAAAAGGGAAAAACCGAGAAGTAAAAGCAAAAAAAAAAAAGAATTCGATTTGAAAATTTTTAACCGTTATAATTATTACACCTGTCGTTTTTTGTTCTTTTTAACCCCCTCCCCCTCTCCCCAATAAAAAAACTTACCCCCTACCACCTTTCGAAAAGGTTTAAAAAAAAAAAAAAAAGTCGAATTCAACCACCACTTATAAAATAGTACAAAAGAAATTTTACCTCATTATTATTATTAATTGTTTGTCTCGATGAAGTAATTGAATATGTTTTGTCGTGGCAGTAGAAGTAGTAATAATAATAATAATAAGTAGTTTAAGTAGTTATTTGTAGTAGTTTCGAGTTGTTATTACAAAAAAAAAAAAAGGGATTTCGAATATTGTTTATAGTATCATTAACAAATTCAAAAAAAAAAAAATTTTTTTAATGTTCGTTCGTTCGTTTGTTCGTTTGTCGTTTGTTGTTTGTTTGTTACTTAAACCTTTTTTAAAAAGAGATTTCGCGTACGAATTTTTTTTTAAAAACAACAATCGATAAAAAATCTATAAAAAAATTTTTCTTTTTCGTCTGTTTTAATTTTTCTTTTAAAAAAAAATAAAAAATTATTAAATTCTAAAGACACGTCATTTTTTTTGTAAAAAAAAAACGTTTTTAAAGTTTTAAACTAAGAGAAAAGGTTAATATTTATATAAAAAACAACAAACAAAATTTTTAACTTCAAAGACACAATAAAATTAAGGTTCGGTTGAAAAAACATAAAAAAGAGATTTTTTAAAGTAGCGACAGGAGTGAGAGAGAGAAAGAGAGAGAGAAAAGAAAATAAGAAAACCGCCGGAAAATAATTTTTTGGTTAGCCGCCATTTTCTAATAAAGAATAGCCTAGGGAAAAATAAAAAATAAAAAAATATTTTCTTTCTCTCTCTCTCTCTCTCTCTAACAATCCTGGAAAAATTTATAACAGAAATATTAATAGTCAAGGTTCGGGCGGATGGTTAGGTGCGTGAGAGAGAGAGAGAGAGAGAGAGAGGGAAAAGGGTGATCGAAGGGGAGAAGAACCAAAAAAGAGGAGAAAAAGCAGTTTGTGTGTTCCACCCTCCCCCCCCAATTCCCTCTTTACTACTACTACTACTACTACTACTACATCTTCTCCACGTTACGGCCCCTCAGTTCACTCAACTAGAAACTCCTGATAACGAAGCCTACACAACAGCAGCACCAGCACCAGGAGCAGCAGCAGCAGCACCATCCTTTTTTCCTCTTTTCTCTATCTCTCTCTCTCTCTCTCTCTCTCTCTCTCTTTCTTTCTTCCTTTTTCTTATTTTACCTCTTTTCCTTTAAAGAAAAACGCCCCGACGCCCTTTTTCTATGCCATCCATTTTCTAATAAAATCCATTATTTTGTTTACCATTTTTTTAATATTTTCTCCTCTTTTTCAACATTTTCTCTCTCTCTCTCTCTATCTATCTCTTTCTCTTTTTTACATTTCGAAGATGTTTTTCCAAACTTTTAAAATCGGTTATTGTGTTTTTTTTTTTTTCTTTATGCTCCGTTATCATCGCTTTTGTCCCTACCACCACCACCACCACCATCGTCATCTTCGTTGTTTAGGGTTCGCCACCGCCACCGCCACCGCCACCGTCGCCGCCACCACCGACGACATTTTCTTTTCTTTTATCTACATTTCCTTTTACCCAACGGCTAAAAGTGTCGAAATATTTTTTTTTCTCTCTCTCTCTCTCTCTCATTCTAAAAAAAATTTTCCAGATTTTTGTTTGAGTAACACAACGCACAGCGTCGATTCGACACACACAATCACGTTTTTTTCCTCCTCGTCGACTGGAGAACATTCTAGAATGTTTTTCTATTTTATTTATTTTTTATTACTTTAGGGTTAATCAACATTGATCGGCTATTGGAATTTTTCATGGTGCATGGATTTTTATTACTTATTTTTATTACGATTTTCCTTCGAACTCAACTCAAAAAAAAAAAAATTCTCAAACGAAGAATATTCTGGAATTTTAACGAAACGATGACGTCATCGTCGACGACGTCTTTAATCGTTTGTCCTACTCGTGATAATAATAACGACATTGATAACAATAAAAAAAATCAAAACGCTCATTTATATATTTTCCATATAAAAAAAAAATTTTCTTCTGCCACTTTTTTTTCTTTTTTTAAATGAAAAAGAACACTCATTCAAATAAAGACGACAAAAATTTATTTCCAACTGTGAACATAATTATTATTATTATTATTATCATTAAAGAAAACGAATGACATGGGACGTGTAACAACTGACCATCCCTCATTATCCCCTTGTAAAACATTCAACCAACCAACCCTCTTAAGAAAAAAAAAAAATTTTTATTTCGATTTTGAGGTGAAATGAAATTATTACCACCACGACGACGACAAATAATAATAATAATAATAATAAAGAAAAATAATAAGAAAATGTAAACGGATGGATAAAATAGGGGAGGGGAGAAGGGGAAGGAGGATTAACATGGATGAACACGCATTTTAAATGACCGTGACAACCGGGATTCAATCTCAGATAGGACAAAAACAACAACAACAACAACAACTACGAACACCCTTCATCCCTTATTTAAAACCTTCATTCCCTTTTTCTATTGTTAAATATATATATTTTTGATAAAAATTTTTTCTTTTAACATTTCAATAAAATGTCAAATTTTATATTTTGTTACGGTGGTATAAATACTTAAACATATTTATTCATTTCCGTTTCCGGTTTAAAAAAAAAAAAATTAATATTCGTAATTTTTTTCGTTTAAAAAAAAAAAAACGATAATAAATAATAATAATGATGAAATTGTGTTAACAGGTGATTTGGAAGGAGCAACTTCCGACGATATAAGTTCGGGTGGTGATAATTCAAATGCCGGAAGTAGCGCCGGAAATCCGGAAGATGATCAAGCGAGACTGAGATTAAAAAGAAAACTTCAAAGAAATCGAACTTCTTTTACTAACGATCAGATAGATAGTTTAGAAAAGGGTAAGTTATTTTAATAATAATAATAATTTAAAATTTAAAAAAAAATTAATTCCGACGGTTACTTCCGATGGTTATCATTTCCGGTTTGTTTTTTTTTTTTTGCAAAATTTTAAAACGGATTTAAATCCTTTTTATTTAAAATAAATTTATTTATTACTTTTCGCGTCGATCGCGTTTAAATTAACGACAAAAAAAAATTTTTTTTCTAGAATATTCCATTTTTTTAAAAATAAAAAATATATATAAAAATTTTCTTCTGCTTTTAACGATTAGAAAGAATTTCCCTAACGTAAATATTTCTTTAAGTAATCTCAAAAAAAAAAAAAAAAATGAAAAGAATAGAAATAAAAAAAAAAAAAAAAGTCAATAAAAATCAAAGACTTCCTAAACAGAGGAAGAGGAAAAAAGGAAAGGAAAGGAAAGAAAAAAAAAAGAATTGAGGGAGGGGGAGGGGCGGGAGCAAATGGTGGAAAAGAATAAAAAAAAAAAAAAGAAAATTTTCTTTTATAAAAAAAAAAAAAAATGACAAAAGAAAAAGAAAAAAAAATGTGCGTGTTAAAGACGCCGAGAGTGTGCCATGAAAATTTTTTTTTTTTAACACAAAAAGAAAATTTTTTTCTTCTTTCTTTTCCACTCCCACCGCCACTCCCCTCCTTCCCTCCCCTTTCCCGTACTCCTACTCCCCTTTCCTCCCTCCCCTCGACTCACGGGAAAATGTATCTACCCACATACACACACACACAGACAAACCTCACCGGAAAAACAAAAAAAACACATGAAAAACTAATTAAAAAATGACGTCACGAACGTTGAATAAAATAATAATAATAATAATATTAATAATAATAATAATAATAATAATAGCAGCAATATACAAATCCTATGAAACAATTATTACAGAATTCTTACGGAATATTACAGAATTCGAAAGGACTCATTATCCCGATGTGTTTGCAAGAGAAAGGTTAGCCGCTAAAATAGGACTACCGGAAGCGAGAATACAAGTTTGGTTTTCTAACAGGAGAGCTAAATGGAGAAGAGAAGAAAAATTAAGAAATCAAAGACGTCCACAACCGGTCGAACCACCGCCATCTTCTCCACCGAGAGGAACCCCTAATGGCGGCGGCGGTGGCGGTGGTGGAGGTGTTATGAACGGTACAGGTTTTACAAATCCAAATTTATATACGTCAATACCACCGCCGATGACAATGCCGGGAGATTCGTACAGGTTATTATTATCATTATTATACGAAGATGATGATGATGATGGTGGAGAGAAAAAAAAAAAAGAAAAAAACTTACCCGTGATTTCTTTTTCATAAAAATTACAGTCCGATGCCACCGTCGGTATCCAATTTCGTTATGTCAAACAGTCATCATCATAATAGTAACGGTGTTACTCCGGTTGGTATGTCTGCCACTTCTTCGGCATGCCTGCAACAAAGAGATGGTACAGGATATTCGTGCATGAGTCGTCCAACATACGAAACATTATCGCTTACCGGAAGTTATCACGGTGGTAGACCATCGTGCAGTCCAACTCAGCCTTACCAACACATGAACGGAGTCGGTCATCAATATTCCACTAACGGAAGTTCTTCAACTGGTTCGTTTTTAATTTTTTTTTCGTTCCGAAAATGAAAACAAGTTAATAATAATAATAATCGATTGTATTTATATTTAATAGGTTTGATATCTCCGGGTGTATCAGTTCCGATTGCCGTACCTGGACAAACAACGGACATGTCTTCTCAATATTGGCCAAGAATTCAGTGACAATGGTGGAATTAAATAATTTTATCCTAGGGAAAACAAAAAAAAAAAATTCGCTCAATTTCTTTTCTTTTCTAGAAAATTCGAAAAGTTTTCTCTCATCTTTTTAACTCACCCGATAACTAAAACAAACAAATCATCATCATCATCATCATCATTATCATCATCATCATCGTCGTCGTCGTTATAAACAATTTTTTTCTTTTGAATTTTGTAACGTTTGACCTGAAAAAAAAAAAAAAAAAAATTTACGCTATAAAATGCCTTTTTTGTTCAACTAACAACAAAAAACTTTTTGTAATGATATGATGATAATGATGATGATGATGATGATAATAATGATGATAACAAATTAAAATAAACCGACTCGCGAAAAACGTAAAAAAAAAATAATAATAAATTCAAAAAAAAAAAAAAAATTTCGCGCCATTTTTTCTTTTTTTAACTAATTGTGTGTGATTTTTAAAAATTACAAAATGGCGCCGTCGGTTTACTAAAAAAAAAAAAAAAAAAAATATAAATATATATATATATATATACATAAATTTATTAATTGTAATCGATAATAATTAATAATAATAATAATGTAAGTTTCATTTTTTCATAAGATAATAATATTAAAAAAAAAAATTAAATGAGCTCAATTAATTATTATTATTATTTATTTATTTATTTATTTATTAAACAAAAAATCCTTTTATTAATAAAAAAGAAAAATAAAACAATTTTCTACGCCATAAAAAAAAAGAAAAATACAAATAAGTAATTTAAACGAGAATAAAGAAAAAAGAAACCCACGCGGGAAAAACAAAATGGCGTCCGAATGTTTTTTCCTTCTTTTGACCATCTCGTTAGAAAAAAAAAAAAAAAAAAAATTTAATAAAATTAAATAAATTTATAACGACAGGTGTCGAGTAAATCATCGAAACGGAATGAAAATATCTCTCTCTCTCTCTTTCTCTCTTATTTTACCTTGGAACGTTTTTTTTTTTTTTTTTTAAATTTAATTTCGAACGCCGCGACATTTTCTTTTTTCCAGTTTACAATAATAATCGAGGACGCCAAATCGATCGATTTTAAACATCGTTCGAAAACCGTTAAATTTAAAAAAAAATATATATATATATATATATATATGAAATATCAACCGATCGAATTCGACTTAAAGTATATTTATTTAAAAAAAATTATGACAAAACGATTCTCGTTATATCGATTATATTATTTTATATCGTTCGATATATCGAAATATTTTCTCATAAAATAAAAAACGTCCCATTAAAATTTAAAATATGAAAATTTAAAATGAATTAACGTCGTTCATCCATCTTGTTCATATTATTATCATCATCATCAACAAACAACAATCGATTAATAATGATAATAATGGTAATTAAAAAAAATACAATATTAACATTAAAAATAAATAAAAAATAAAACAAAACAAAATTTTTTCCCTTTTTATTTTTTTTCTCATCTATTAATATTAATAATAATAATAATAATAATAATAATAATAATAATAATAATTCATCATTTTAATAAAATACAAATAAAATCTTATTTTATATTTTCTTTCTTTTTCCATTTAAGTCTTTTTTATTAAACATATATATATATATATATATATATATATATTTATTTATTTATAGTTTACTTCGTTTAACATTTTCTCATATTAATAATAATAATAATAATAATAATTATCATTATCAATATTATTGATTTTAAATTATTAAATAATCAATCAATCACTTATTTATTTATTAATTCAACTTAAATAAAAAAAAAAAAAATTATTTAAAATACTTTCTCTTTCTTCTCCTTTTTTAAACAAAGTTTAATAATATCTAAAAATGAATAAAATCATTATTATTAATATTTGAAAATAATAATAATAATGATGATGATGGTGATGATGATGATTATGAGAATGATGATAATGACGATTTTGATAAAATATGTAAAATTAAATAATTATTCGAATGATTAATAATAATAATAATAATAAAAAACAAAAAAAATTAATTTCTTCTTTCTCTTTCTCTCTTTCTTTCTCACTTTCTCTCATTCTTTCTCTATCTCTCTCTCTCTCTCTCTTATGATTTTGTAAAATTTTTTTTTGTTTTTTTTTTTTTTTCGGTTTTGTTTTTATAAAAATATAAAATATATTTTTACGTCTTTATTTTATTTTATTTATATTAATTAAACGCGAAGAACATACAATTTTTTTACCCGCGCGCACACATACATTCTTTTCAACGGAGAAAAAACAAATTTATTATTATTATTATTATTATTATTATTAATAATTTTTCCTATTTTTACAAATATCGAAAAGTCTCGAACGTTTTGTGTTTGTGTTTGTTACCTCGGCATTATCATTATTATTATTACTACTTTTTTTCTTTATATGGGGTTACTGTGACTTGCGCACTGTAATTAATTTAAACCCGATGTGAAAATTATTAAAATTTCATCGTTTGTTTATATTTAAATTGATTTTTTTTTTTTTCATTCTTTGAACAACGTTCTGACAAAATAAAAAAAAAAAAAACCGTTCGAAAAGCAGAAGAAAAATTTTAAAAAAACCGAACCGACCGGAAATGACGTTTTTCTTCTCCTACATCAAATAATTTCATCCGACACAAATTATTATTATTATTTTCCCCCTTTCAATTTTATTATTGGCTAATCGACACTGAATCATTTTGTTATTTATTATTATTATTATTATCGTGCACACTTTTGACGACGATATTACTACGTCGTGTACACGGGCCAAACGTATAAAGTGTTGGCTTCTCTTCCGGCAGTCTCTAATGGATCTCTCTCGGCATAAGTAACTGATAATTCTTCTTGAAGTCTACTGGATGCAGTCACGGCTTCGTCCGGCAATATACTTTCGACCGTGCTCACTTCCAGCTCTTCAACTTTAGATATTTCGGGAATGGGTTCGTCGACCTGCTGCAGACAAACAAAAACGATAAAAATTGTCGCCATTTTTCTTTTTTCGATTCGTTTCTCTCGTTTAAATGAAATTTAAAAAAATTCAAGAACCTGAACTATTAATTTGTTATCGTCGTTATTCGATGGCGTTTGCGGTTCTCTTTTGATTTTCATGACAAACGTCGAATACGGTTCTTTACTGTGAGTTATCATGTGCCTTTTCATGTCTGATCTAACCCTGAACGGTTTCCCGCAAACATCGCAGGGATGAGGTTTTTCACCTGAACAAACAAACAAACAAACAAACAATCGAAGTAAGTACAGATGATGTTTTAGCAATAAAAAGAAAAATATTTCTCTCTCTCTCTCTTTTCCTTCTCACCCGTGTGTATCCTCCTGTGATTCTGAAGGTACGACGAAGCTCTGAAACTTTTTTCGCAAAATTCACATTTGTAATTCCTTTCTCCCGTGTGTATTCGCGAATGAACCGTCAATGAATATTTTCTCGCAAAATCTTTACCGCAATATTCGCATTGGAAATTTTTCTGATCAGAATGTATCGAAATACAATGATATTTTAAATCTCCCCACTGTCTGAAATTCCTACCGCAAAATTCACATTTAAACGGTTTCACGCCTGAATGCTGCCTCATGTGTACCTGAAATCAATCATTATATCCCATTAATATTATTTTCATTCATTCATTTCACAAACGTATCCCATTATTAGAGGATATCACACACACGTACCTTCAAAGCATTCGTTGCGAAAAAACCTTTTCCGCAAACTTCACACTGATGAGGCCTTTCTCCGAGATGACTTTTCAAATGATAAACGAGAGAATTTCTATGATTGAAATACCTTCCGCATTCCTTACAGTGCAAATTACCCTTTTTTGCCGTGTTGTCGGGTTGCCTTCAAAACAAGAATCAGAACAAACAGGTACAAAATAATAAATCAAACAAACAACATGTCTTCAGAGAGAGAGAGAGAGAGACATTTTGTAATGACGTTTCACCGCCTTCTTAATTTTACCTCCTAACGGTTTTAGTTATGGCGGTCATTAGTTCTGCGTGCTGTTGAGATATATGTTGATTGAGAGCTGCTTTCGAATGATAGGCTTCGTTACACATTTCGCACATGTGAGCATCGACATAAACCGTTTTCGTCCTTTCTTCCATTTCTTGTAAATCAGCTTCGGCCGCGTGTAAATCTTCTTCTCTGTACCATTCTTTTTGAATCGTGTTATCTCTAAAATTATACAAAATCATCATCATTTCTTTTTTTTAAATGCAATTTAATAATTAAAAACAAAATTTCTATATTATATATTTAATTTGTAGTTTACACTGATTGGACGCGGACACATTAAACATTTGAACCTTGACCTTTGATTTTGTTTCATTAATGGTCATTACTTTTATTTACAGAAAACAACATAAGAGTTATGTGCAAGGCTTACGAGTGACTAAAGTTTGAATTGTTAATAAATAATGTTATAACAATCATGAGTAAATAAAATTTTTTTTTTTTTTTTTTTTTTACTTTTCTGTTGTTTCCTTATCGTCGTCACTGTGAACTTCAACACTTATCCCTTCCATCATGTCTTCGGGCTCGCTGAATTCTTCTATTTCTTCTTGTTTGGGATGTGCCACGCTCAAATGACTTTCGTACGTTTCTTGTCTGCGAAATATTCTTTTACAAGGTTCGCAATTCCATAATATTTGTTCCGTTTGATTTTGCGTTAAATGTTGATACAATATTGATGCAGTGGATGAAGATGTATTTATTTCTTGGGTTTGTGGTTGTGTAGCTGCCGGAGAGGGTGACGAGGATGCCGAAGACGGGGAAGGAGATGGCCATTTGGCAACAGTCTGTAGAGTTGTCGTTTGATTAATGGTAACCGGTGATTTGGCTTTTACCTGAAAAATTGAAATCGATGCAATAAAAAAAAAAAAAAATAAATAAATAAATTTTTAAAAAACGTAGATGGTGAAATGAAAAGTACTCACAGAACCGATTTTAGCATTTGGTGATAATGAAGTTGTATTTTGTAAAGTTCTTACTTTTATCCCGCTGTTTTTCAATTCTTTTTTTACAATAACTTCATTTATGTTTGAATTTTGTTTAGTTCCTGAAGGCAAAGTTCGTTTAGGAGAATTTGTATCTAATTCTAATGGCTCATAATGTGATTTTAAATGTTCAAAAAATTTCCATTGGTTAGTAAAAGTTTTAAAACAAAGCTCACATGAAAATGACGAAGATTGATTAACTCCAGATGGTTTTTTTATATTATGTGTCGCTTTGTGAATTGCGAATGCATTCGCATTTGGAAAAAATTCAGAACACTTGTTACACTTGTAACTGTTAATTTTCACCAACTGTATGTTTTGCTCATCGTGGCTTAAAGTTCTAGCATTTGCATTTTTCTGAGTATTTTTAAGTTTTCTCGATATTCTTTTCTTGTGAGGCAAATTATTTTTCGATTTTTCTCTATCATTTTCAAAATCAGAATCATGCAATCCTTCATCACTATCCTGTTCATCATCACTCAATTGTTCACTCTCATCACATGCCTCCGTTTTAATGTTAGCATCTTCTTCGATGATAAAATCATTCAGTTCAGTTTTTATTACTTCGTTTGGCCCAATTTCTATTTCTTCAGTTGATATTTCTATATGTTCTCCTTCAGTGTGAAGTCCTAAACTGGCTAATTGTGTCTGCTGATCTATTTCAGATGTGTTTAATTGATTGTAGTGAGGACGTAAGTAACGATTTTTACTCAAAACTTTTTTAAGCGGAGGCAAAGGGGGTAAAGTTGTTTCTTCACTCTATTGAAAAATAATTAAATGTTTTTTACATTCCATTAAAATGTTTTAATTTTTAAATCTTAGAAATAATAAATTGTAAATAAATATTTTACCTCTGACACATAACTAAGTGTGACTCCAGTAGAATTTTTATCAGCGCTCACATTAGCAGCATTAACAATAACAGGTTCTTCTGTTTGTTTGGCATGATTTGTTAATGAAGGCATTACCGATATTTGTTCATTTATATTGACTAGTTTAGAAGTCACTGGTATGGCTGAAGGTGCAAGCATTGGAAGAATATGAGCACTAATTTAAAAAAAAAAGAAAATTCATTAAATAAACATAAATAAAACTTATTTTGTTTAACTTATTTCAATTTGACAAACCCAGATTGTTGTTTTTGTTGTGTCACTAATTGTACTGCAACCAAAGCTGCTGCTAATCTTTTATCATCTTCAGTTAAATCATCGTGAAGTAAATCATCCTCATACTGATGCGGAATAAATCTTTCTAATGCTATAGAGCCGCTAGATATTAAATCGCCATTAATATCAACTAAAAGCTCATTCCCTGATAATAATGTCGAATTGGATAAGAAATTTTTGGTTGTCACTACATCGGGAACTCTTTGAATATTTATAAACTGAGATGACATTAAATCTTCAGATTCGACTGAAGTTTTAGTTACTTCTCTTCCAACATTATGATCCCTCAGTGCATGAGCTTCTGCTTCTTTAACAGCATTGTTGTAAGAGGGAGAGTTATGTTGCGGCTCATGATGTTGCTGTTGATGTGTCTGGGATTGTGATTGCTCCTGAGGTTGGTGTTGATCTTTACTTTTGTCAGTTGAAGTTTCTTCCATTTTAATCAATTTCATATCGAAAAATTTAACAAAAATATATATATTTTAGCGTAGCAGAAAATAATATTTAATAAAAACTAATTAAATTATCTATTGAACATTTTTAATTGGATTCAAACACTTTTATTATAAAACTATGGCAGTTTTTCCGTTACAATTTTGTCTTAAGAAACCAAAATAAAGAAATAGAAATCGTTCAACACTGGCTTCATCAGAGGTCAAAAATTATAAAAAACCACGTCAAAACGGCATAAGTGTCAATCATAAGTTAAATAATAATATCCTTTTTGAATAAAATGACTTCATTACAAGGACGTTTAAAAAATGAATAAAATTCATATTATTACTTAAATAAATAACTTTTTAAAAACTCAATTGAAAAACAATAAATAACCGAAAACAATTTTCAACATATTAATATATATATTATTTAAGGATACCTTAAATAAAATTTTAAAATAAACAAAACGCCATACGTGACAACAATGTTACCTATGAAAGAATTAATGGGGAGGAGAGCGCTAGTGTTCTTGAAATGCACTCTATCGTTTAATTAAAGAACTAAACGATGCATGTGTATACAACCGCACATGGACTTCAAGATGGTCTTACCCATTTTATTTTTATTTTATTTTTTTTTTGAATGAAAAAATTTATGACTTTGTTCTCAGATAAATTTTTATTGTTTGTTTTTTTAACGACTATTTAATTATTTTCCTTTGAACCAAACGTATTTTATTATTGATACTTAATTTGAAATTCCATGCACTTAAAATTCAGACATGATTGAAAAATACCTCGATTTCAATTATTGTAATAAAATGTGACAAGGATTAAAACTTTATCGGAATCCAAATTAAAATATTTTAATCTACTTATATATAAAACATGAGGAAAAGGAATATTTGTAAGTGAACGAATTCACTCAATGAATTAACTAAAAATTTTTACAAAATATTTTTAAAAAATTTATTGTAATAAATAAAAAAAAAAAATGAAAATAATATCAGTCTATTAGAATTACATTTTCCTAAATGCTAACAACATGTGATGAAATCCTTACCAATATGATTAACATAAAATTAAAAACAAAAATTTAATAATAATTGAAAAAACTTTTGATATTTCATCATTTATGTCGCTTTTAAGTAAATGAGGCAAAACGACATCAACTACAATATTTAAAAAAAAACTTGACAAAATCTAGCATAATCTAATACATTCACACATAAAAATCGAGTATACAAAATCTAATTAAAAAAAAAAAAAGAAAATTATTCAAAGATACAATTCAGTCTAAAAGTATTTTAAAGTTCTTTTTTTTTTTTTTTTTTTAAATATTACATTTTACTCTTGGGTTTCTCACTTTCGATGTGTTGAACAGGTATATCTTTAGGTTCATCAAGTTTATTAAGTGATGCTTCAATACTTAAAATACCATCTTCGTGAAGAAGTGATTTAACTGTGGATTGTTCAACATTTGATGGCAATGTAAATTCACGAACTATTGATTGTTGAAACCGGCTACCATCTTCGGCTGTTTTATCCATGTGAGCTTCAATCTTTAACAATCCTTCCTTAAGTGAAATTTTAATATCTTCAGGTTTGAAACCTTGGACGTCGATGTTTACACGATAATTAGAATTATTACTATCAACTTTGCCTTCTATGGGCATAGCTCTGGGTGTGATTATGCGTAACGGATTGTTTCGGAAAAAGCTACGTTCAAAATTTTCCATTTGCCTCTCCATGTCGCGAAAAACGCTTCTAACATCTAATGGTCTCATAACTTCCCATAAATTTCTTGCTGATTGTACGCGAACAGGAGGAGCTCGACGACAAGCATGTAAAACAGGTACGAGCATTCTGCATTGTTGATACATTTTTTATTCAATAAAATTTCAAATAACTTTCACAATAAAACAAAAACACAATTGTTAATAATTATATTAAAAAAATAACACTGCCTTCGTGATAGTTCTTTACAACTCGATTATAACTTGATATATGTTCGGCTCCGTCTCGAAATCGACTATATATACTAAACATAGGATAACGAGAAAAATCTAGAAATTTCGTCAGCCTTCTAGAATGTTCTAGAAACATTTGAGCCAATCAGAATTCTATTTTTAGCCTACGTCATTTTTTTTCAGCCAATCAGAATTCTATTTTTAGCCACGTCATTTTTTTTCAACCAATCAGAACAAAGTTGAGAATGTGACGTAATCGGGTCATGTAAACAAAAATAAAATTTTGTTAGATTTTTTGTGTATCTTCATTGTAATTTTTTTTTTTTTTTTTTTTTTATAAAAAGTAATATTACTCTTTTGTAACCGTTGCAAACGTATTAAAGTTTAAATTATCGAACGTTTTTAAATTGTATTAATATATTAAAATACTCAAAAACACTTTCTTTTAATTAAAAATTATTTAAATATTTTGTAATAAATGTAATATTATTAATTATTTTATAGTATGTAAAACAATCAATTTATTTAATTACTTGTACATTTCTTATTTTATTATCTTAATTCATATATATTGTATAATAAACAACCATTTTGTAAAAAATATGTATATTTGCTAAATATAATAAATCATTATTTATGAAGACACAAAATTATTTATTATATTAATCATTTGAAATTGATTTATTAAATAAATCAAAATGAAAAATTAATTTCAATCGAATGAACTTCCGACTAAAACAAGTTAAAAATTTAATTTGTTTAATTAATTTTATTTATGTTAAACAACATAAAGTGTCATGTTTTTTTTTTTTTTTAAATTAAACAAATAAATAAATTTTTATAATTTTATGTTGTTTTTTGTAAATACAATTTCATTCGATAAATTTTCTCATTCTCCATCTTAATTAATATGTTTTATGTGAACTTAATTGTGTGTTTTCTTCTCATTTTAAAACATTTGTTTATTATTTGTGTGGAATACAATTTACTGTTATAACAAATTATTAAAAAAAAAAAAAAATTAATATAAATTGTTTAATTATGAAAGTATTTTAATTTTTTCTTTGGAAATCAAAATAAATACCACCTTCTTCTCAACAATCGACAAGTCGAATTAAAACCAGAGCCATAAATAAATATATATATTAAAAATATGAGTCATGTAATATTTTCACAAATTTCTTTTTATTTAAATAACTTTTCTTATGTATATATATACAATAACAAATAAAATAAGTATAAATTTAATTCAAAAAAAGAAAGTTGACTTAAATTTTTTTTTCTCTCTCATTAACAAATAAGAAGTTTAGCAAGTTTTTATTTAAAAAAAACTTTCTTGCTATGAATAAAAACGATAAAGTAAAAAATAAAAACTAAAAAAATTTATTATTCATTATTTATCATCATTATTAATATATATATATATATATATATATATTAATTTTATACCTGAATCAGGTTTTGGAATTTTAAATAATAATAATAATAAAATCAAGTTTTTCTATAAAAATATTTTTCAAGTTTAATGAACTTCATTTCGAATTGATATCTTATTACATATTAATAATAATAATTATTCCATATCAAATACATCAAACTTATTAACTTTTAAAAATAATAATAATAATAATAATAATAATAATAATAATAATAATGTTTTCAAAGGTAAAAATTTCATATCGATTAATTTATTATAAAAAAAAAAATCAAAAAAGAATGAAACCATTTTTTTTTTAAATAAATAAATAAATCAACAAGATTAATTATTTAAATTATATAATAATAATAAAAATTATAGCCAATAAAAATTGGCATAAATTAAACAATTATTATTATTATTACTGTCAACCGTTTAAAATTGTTTTAAACAATAAAAATAAATTTAGCAATAAAAAAGAAAAAAAGAGAAATTTTCGTTAAATGGCGCAATTTTGTTTATTCTCCCTAATGATTCACGTTTGATTATTATTAATTTTTCGCCCCCTTTTTTTCCCCCCCAAAAAAGGACTAAAATTTCGCCCCCCTCATGCTTTATCATCATCATCATCATCATCATCATACGAGAGATTAATGAGAAATAGTTAAATATTTTCCCATAAGTAGTAATATTTTATTTTAAATAAAAAAAAAAAAATACTCCTACTCAAATTTTTTTATACAAAATAATAATAATAATAATAATAATAATAATTTCCGTGTGACAAATACGCTTCCCACGTATATTATTTTAATTATATTTTATTTTGGTTTGAAATACAAACTAAATTTGTCAAAATTCCATTATTGGGATTGTAAATATTATTACACAGGTTTTATAAAGAAACAAATTCTTTGACGTCATTTTTATATGTGTTAGTATGAGTAGTAAATAGAGACAAAACTATCTAGAAACTTCTTCGTCCTACTGCATTTTTTTTATATTTTTTTTTTCATAGAAATCTTAAAATGTATGTATATATATATTATGTTATCGAACAAAAAATATTATGTGACTTTATATTTTCCACACAACACAAAAAAAAAACTAAAAACTTATTAATAATAATAATAATAATAATAATAATAATAATAATAATAAAATGAAAACAATATTTAAAAAAAAACGACCACCCCTCGTTTAAAAATTTGATTAATCGATCGGGTTTTCTAATGACACGTCATTAACGTGCAAACCGCGAAAATTAATACGACGACGACGACATTTTATCTCATAACGTCGACATATAATAATAATAATCGATTAATTAATTAATTTTGTCGTTTTGTTCTCTCATTAATCAATCAATCAACTTTTTGTTTTACTTTTGAAATGTTTTTCCATTTCTCCTCCATTTTTTTTAGTAAAACTAAAATTTAACGACATGCGGTCCATACCCTTATGACATCATTTTAATCAAAAAGGTATTATTATTATCTTAACTAACTAAACCCTCCAAAAAAATAAAAAAACTTTTTTTTGTGAATTATATATATATATTTGAATCATAATTAAAAACCCACATAAAACAATTATTATTATTATTTTTAATCATCATTTGTTACATGGCAAGTTTTATTATCATTTTATTAATATAAAAAAAATTTTTTTTTTTTTTTTAAAAATGAAATTTAAGCTTGCAAGTTTGAACTGTCACATTGACATTTTTACTTAACATGTAATACAATCCTACAAAAATCAAAAAAATAATAATAATAATAATGATAAATCACTGAATTATGATTGTAATTGATATAGTAATAATAATACTTCCTCCTATAGATTCAAATGATATCAATTCAATTTTCTTTTTTTTTTTTGTTTAAATAATAATAAACAAACATTGTTTGTTGTTGTTAATGAGAACAAGAAATGTAAGGTTAATAATGCCCTGGATGATTGTTTGTTTGTTTGTTTGTTTTATAAACTATTTTAAAAATTATTTAATTCCATGTGAATTTTCTCAAATAATTAAAAAAAAAATGGAGAGAAAAAAATTAATTTTAATAACAATTAATAATAAAAATTAATATATAGTTGATTGATATAGGACAGAAAAAGACTCATTATTATTATTATTATTATTATTATCTTTATTATCATTATTACTTTTTTTTTTAATAAATGAAATGCTTTTAATATACAACTAGTTTACATGCTGGCAATTAACCACACAAACCGAATAAAACAACCGAAAATAAAATGGCGCCTGTTGAAAAACTATGGACGATCGTTCGAATTGTAGAAGTTTCGAGAATTATTAAATTATTATTATTATTATCTCAATAATAATAAGAAATCGTTTGCGCGACAATTTTAATTAATTAAAAACCGTAATGGAGTTATCAGTGTTTGATAAAAAGCTTTTAACGGTTTTTTCGCGCGTGCGCAGTAAGTAAATTCTCTCGCCGCATCCATTTAAATACATAAAACTAAGACTCCGAACGTTGATTTTAGTAATTCGTGAACGAGAGTTTGACGTGTCAATAGTTAACGTTTTTTTTTCTTTTTCTGTTGGTTATTTTTTTTTTGTTGGTTAATTTGTTTTGTATTTTCTCTTTCACTCTTCAATTATCATCAAATTTGTATTATTAATTAAATAAAATGGCCGACAGTGGTATTAAACGTAATATTCCGGTTAAATTGGGAGATTTCTCCGTTATCGACAGCGAATTTAGCAACATAAGAGAAAGATTCGATGCCGAAATGAAAAAAATGGAAGATGAAATGACTAAATTTCGTTCGGAACTCATGAACAGAGAAAGCAATTTTTTCAAAACAACATCAAGGTAAAACCACAAATAAAATTTACTCTTTTTTTTTAATCTCGACATTTTCTCGTTTTTTTTATTAACTTTCGTGTAACTTAATACGTCTAACAAGAAAATTTAAAATAAGACACACACATCACCGCCCCCCCTCTTTACATATATTCTAATTCATTATTCAAATCGCGTTCGATTTTTAACGGTTTTTTTTTTTATATCTTTTGATTATAACGCATTATTTTATTTTCTATCGCATAAAAATAAAAATTTACAGGTTTTTTTTTTTTTTTTTTTTTTTTTTTTAAATTTACAAATAATAACGAATCACGAGGAGAATAATGAATAGTCGGATAATTATTATTATTATTATTATTATCATTTCAAGGACGTTTTTCCCAATCGTGTGCGATCACGTTTAAATTTACACACAGACACACGTTTAACATAAAATAATTAATTAATTTTCGTTTGTTTCTATCTCTCTCCTTCTTTATCTTTCTCTCTCTCTCTCTCTCTCTCTCTATCTATCTGTACAAACAAACAGCAAACAAACGATTTATTTATTGATTTAATAGTTTTTCCCCCACCACCACCGCCACCACCCACTTTATTTATTCATTTTCTTATATATATATATATAAAAGTATACAAAATGTCGAAACGATGTTGGCAATGAATGAAAAAAATAAATAAATAATAATTAAAATTCTGTGGGTGTTTTTTCTTAAAAAAAAAAAACACGACTTTCCATCATCGAATAATAATAATAATAATAATAATAATAAAAAGACACACGTTAATCCTTGGAAAGTTCTAGATTATTATATTCCCACTCGATAATTATCGTTAAAGTGTCAGGTACTCGTAATTTTATTATCATTATCATTAATTATTAAATCGATCGATTTTATTACTGCCACGTTGTTTTTATTACCCGACTTGAAACGTTTTCTTTTCGAAAGTAATTCTTCGGGATATTATTAAGTGCGGGGGAGGAGGAGAAGGAGGAGGAGGAGGAAGGGGGGAGGGAAACAAACGAATTATTATCGATTATGCGATTTGTATAACTAATTTAATTATAATGACTTCTCCTGCGACTCTCTCTCTCTCTCTCGAAACTTTGAAAAACGCTATCAAAGTGTAATAATAATAATAGTAATAGTAATAATAATAATAATAAATCAGACGTTAAAAATCGAAGGAAATACAAAACGTGCGGTTGAATTGTTTGATTATAAGGGCCGGTTAACCACACCAAACAGGTGGTCGTAATGGCGGCGGTGACGATGGCGGCGGTGGCGGTGACGATGATGATGATGATGACGGTGGCGGTGAATCAAAGACCGGAAAAAAAAATGCAAAAACCGAAAATGACGAAACGAAACGGAAAAACCCAAACGTTCGAATCTTTTCGTTGGGATGCTGCGACACAAACGAGATGAAAAAAAAAAAAAAAAAAAAAGAAAAATTTGTTTTAAAAATGTCCTTGCACGTATCTTATCATCATCATCATCATCATCGTGTTGATCAATAAGAAAATGTCGGCGACGATGAGATTTTTCACTTAAAAAGGCAATAGTAATAATAATAATAATAATAATAAAACGTGTAAATTTATGTATCGTCGAATCACAAAAAAAAAAAAAAAAAATTGACAAAAATTATTATAAATTCGTTTCGTTGCGCTGTTCATTTATTACGTATGATTGAATGAATAAATGAATGAATGACTGACTGAATTTATTATTATTATTATTATTATTGTTGACACACGTTGAGGGCCTCTAAAGAAAATCTAGCGTGGGACGTTTAAAAAAAAAAAATCAACGGGCTGGAAAAAATCCATCTATTTGAAATTTTCGCGCCCACGTATACGCTTATTCACCTACTGGAATATTATTATTATTATTATTATTATTATTATTTATTTAAGACAACCAAATCTTTCTAGAAAAATTCCAGCAGCAGCAGCAGCAGATTGAAACACGCGCGAGAGAGAGAGAGAGAGAAAAAAATGTTTTTTTTTTAATTGTCCGGAAAGTATACGGGGGCGCGTTTAAAAACGAAATGTTAAAGAGAGAAAGAGAGGGGGGGGAAATAAATGAATTTTTATGTTGAATAAACACAGAACACCCATTTTTTTAACGACTAACATTAATCGATTCGAATTGCTTTTCCGTTTCCAGTTTGATGCATGGATTCATTGGAATTTTTTTTCCAAAAAAAAAAAAAAAACAGAAAGAATCCATAAACAAAAAAAAAAAAAAAAATTCATTTAACCGTTAAAAATGTTTATTTAACTTTTTTTTTAAATGGATTTTTTTCATTAAGAAAACAAAAAAACTTTCATAGAGTAAATAAACAATTTTTTTATTTTCTTCTTCTTCTTCTTCTTGAGAGTTACTTAAAGCTTTCGTAATATTCGAATGCGTGCGTGCGTGCGTGAGCGTGTGCGTGCGTGTGCGTGCGTTTGAAAGACGGATAGGAAAAAAAAAAAAACGATCGATCGGTATCCATGGTAGCAGATGATGATGATGATGATGACAATACAATAATACTGACCCCGAGACATATCAGCTGACTCCAGTCAGTTTTGTTTTTATAATTCCAGAATTTTTTTTCTTCTCCAAAAAAAAAACTTCCATCGAATTCGATGGAAGAGAGAAAGAACATGACCATATAAGGAAATGATTTTTTCTCTTTTTTTTCTCTTTCCCCCTCCCCCCCCCCATTTGCAATTTTAATAATTTTTCCAAGGTTATTTAATCGCGACTAATCCCAATCGTTTTTTTTTCATTAATGGAAATAATTTGTTCAGACGTTTTATTATTATTATTATTATTATTATTTAATTCCAGTCGATCGGCAAAACATTTACGATTATTATTATTATTATTATTATTATTATTATTATTATTATTATTATTATTATTATTATTATTATTATTTTCGTGCGGTTAATCCTTCGTATAAAATCTTTGAATTTTTCCAATGTTTGATTTTGTTTGTAATAAAAAAAAATTTTTTTTCGTTTGTTTGTTTCTTCGTTTGTTTGTTTGTTCGTTTGTGTTTGTTTTGATTGTCGACGATCGTAAAATTTACATTTTAAATTAACGAGAGACTGTTAAAAATTCCGGCAGGAAAAAAAAAAAAAAAAAAAAAATGGCGATGATGTAGAATTCAAACTTGAAAAATTTATTTATTATAACATTTTTTATTACTTTTTATCCACCCCCGCATTCTTTTTTTTTTTTTTTTTTTCATTTTCGTTAATTATTTTAACGTGTAAATATCATTATTATTACTAACCGGGTTTTTCGACATTTTCCCTTTTTTTCGTCTTATTTTGTTTAATTACATCGTCATCTTTTGTCCTTCTTCTTCTTTTTCTTCTTCCACTTCGTTTCCTTAATCAAAACAAATTTTTATTTTTTTTCTCACGCCGTAAAAACTAATTATCGTAATGTCATCAAAAACAAAGAGAGAGAGATGACGTCATTACACCATACGTAAAAAAATTAGGCACGACGACTAATAATAATAATAATAATAATAATAAAACAAACCCGAAAATTGACCCGATTCGAGTCTTAAGAAGTCAAGTTTTTCTATGTAATGTCTATGAGGGGCACGGCTTATCCCCCTCCCCCCCACACACGTTTCCATAAAAAGACATGTCGATGTTAAATCTAACTTTCAATGTGATGACGTAGTCACATTTTCAAACCTTAAAATATATTTTCCTTCGTAATAATAATAATAATAATAATAATTTTTAGGTATATGTTACGTAAACGTTTTTTTTTTAAATATTTAATTCATTCCTTACTTGCTTTCGTAGGATTTAAAAAAGAAAAAAAAAAATGACGTAGATTGTTGTGCGTGTGAGTGCGTGTGTAGGTGCGTGTATGCACATGCACGAGTTTTTAACTGTGTTGATGTTGATGATGACGGGTTTTCTTTTGTGGCGTGTTGTTGTATGTAAGCGATGGTGTCGTCGTTGTCGTCGTCATCGTTTATACATATTTGGATTTGTAGAACTTTCCAGAAGTCTCGGTTATAACGCACACGCATGTTATTTTCTATCTCTCTCTCTCTCTCTACGTATACGCCCAGAAGCGATGATTATTTCATATAATTTTTTTCCAGGTCACTCAACGTTAGGTTAGGTAGCTGAGTCAGAGGTGTATTCGACCCGACATTTTGTTTTTTTTCTCTTGAATCCGTTTTTTAATAAAAACACATGAATTTGAGATTTTTTTTTGTTGGTACGCCTAGGTGACGCATCGTTATTTAAATACATGTGTATACATTATTCCATCTTGAAATTCTTCATCATCGTACTACTCATCTTTTTCTATTTACACTTTTTTTTTTTTTTTTTTTCACGCGCCCTTTCACGAATTCGAAACGGTTAAAATTAAAAATAAAAATGCGAGTGTTTGTTCGTTTAAATTATTATTATTATTATTATTCGTTTAAAAAAAAGTCGAAGGGCAAATTTTTTGAATGATGTCATTTTTAAAAGTGTCTTTAGACTATGCGAGTGTTGAGAGAACACGTTTTTCAATCGGACGAGTTTTTCTTTCTTTCTCTCTCTCTCTCTCTCTCTCCTTTCCTCTTCTCTTCTTTTCTCGTTACCGATTCGAATTTGTTTTTTATGACGTCATCATCTATTACATTTAAATATCAATAGAATGTTTTTTTATTTTTTGTGCACTCACTGTCCCCCCTCCCCATTTTTTTTTCTTACGTGGAAATTACTAAAATTAAACGTGTACACGTAATCAATCATATACACGTGTGCAAGTACACGTATATCAAAAAAAAAACATAAATGCAATCAACTTTTTTTGCTTTAAGGTTTGATTTAAAGGAGGGTATAATTTAAAAAAAGAAAATTTTTTGCGGCAAAACCGTCGATATTTTACACGTTTTATTTATATTATTTCCCTTATGGACGACATATTACGAAACGCGCGCGCGTAAAAAAAAAAAAAAAAAAAAAAAACGTTATTTTAAAACAAACGTTCGATTTGTGATGATGATGATAAGTAACAAATAATTTATTTTATCTCCTGACACGGCATGCAAATTGCATCTTTACAACGCGAGTTTTTTTTCTTTTTCATTCGTCATTCATTCTCCCCCCCCTCTCTCTCTCTCTCTCTTTCTCTCTTTACCATCATTGCAAACTTAATTTTATTAACTTTGACCTTTCGCCAAAAATTTTGTACGTTTGAAAAAACAACGACGACGACGCCAACACCCCCCCCCCCCACGCGAAACTCTAAAAAAATTCGACGACTTTGCAACACAAATAAATAAAATAAAATAAAATAAAATAAAATGAGAACAAATTAATGTCGCAAGTTTAACCGGAGACTGGGTCGCGGTTATTAATTGTCATCATCATCATCATCATCATCATCATCATCGTCAACGTCGCCACCGTCGCCATCATCATCGCCATTAACTATTTTTTAAAAATGGCGGATTTGTTAATTTTTCGCGATACTATTACTTTATTTAAACGTGAAAACTTGTGTGTGTGTGTGTGTGTGTTTAAAAAAAAATCGAATTAGCATAATCGAATCGAGAAAAAAATAAGTAAAGGTCAAAGGTTACGATTTTACGACTTTGATTTTTTAATTTTTTTTTTTTTTTAAACATTATTCGTTTATGATTATCATTATTATAATAATTATTATTATTATCGCCGTAGTTATTTTCGCCAACGTCGCCCCGCGGGTACGAAAATCGAGATAGATGATTATTGACCAATTACGATCATCATCGTAGTGGTAGTAGTAGTAGTAATAATAATAATAATTATCATGTTTAAAAACTATAATCACGTGGTATTTCGTTTTTTTAAAAATAATCCAACGGCCTTTTTGTAATTAGGTGTTAAAAATTAAACATGCTTGTGCTTGAAAAGGAACGCCATAAAAGGGTCGCTTTGGAAAAGGGATCGTTTAACCGATGATTCAATTCGATTCGATAAACAATGGCCGACGACGAATTTTTTTTTTATTTCTTTTTGTGGAATCTCGTGGTGAATCATTCATTGAAAAACAGAAAATAAGGCTTTTGTAGTAGTCGGTTAAATTATTATTATTATTATTCGTTCAAAAAAGGAAAAGGGGGGCGAGGCGCGGCGCGGCGCGGCGGGGGGACCCGATATAATCATCAACCGCTTTTCCGTATCTCGAAAGTATAAACACGTAGAGTAATAAGATAACCGGTCGAAATATAATTATCGAAATATTTCATTCGATTTCGATAAGAAAAAAAGAGAGAGAAAGAGAGAGAGAGAGAGAGAGAGAGACGAGAAATCATTAAAAAAAAAAATATTTTTCGATATTTTGCGAATCGATACATCGATCGATCAATCGATTCGATTCCTCATATATAAAAAAGAAGCATTCATTATTTTTTTACATTTTGTTTTCCTCTTCGTCGTCATTTTTTGCTATATTCGTTGACCGACTTTTATTATTATTATTATTATTATTATTATTATTATTATTATTATTATTATTATTATTATTATTACGATCGCCATTGTTTTTTTTTTTTTTTTAGTTATGAAAACTTTTAAATATAAAATGCCATCTCAGGTGTTTGTTTGATTTAGAAATGAACGAAAGAATTATTATTATTATTATTATTATTATTACGTTTTTACATCGAATCGAACGTTCTACGTGAATAATGGGCGCGTTAAATGCGATTTAATAATAATAATGATAATAATTCTAATGTTAATTTCGAGGAGTGTAGATGACATGGCGGATTTTCTTAACCATCAGCAAATTTTCCTTTTTCGCTTATTAATACATAAAATAAATTATTTGTATTGAAATCATTATCATTATTATTTTTTTTTATTACTCGCACGGGAGACTTTGACACACTCTCGAATAATTTTTTTTCTAATTTACACACGTATTCGTCATTTAACCTTTGACAAATTTTAAAATTGGCGCCTTTTTACTCTATGACTTTGACTTCATATTCTCCCCGTTCAAAAAAAAAAAAAAAAAAAAAAAAAATCTGTAAATGTATGCGATAGAAAACGATTTCATTCAAAATTATTTCTTTCGAATCCGGTACAAGTTTTTTTTTTTTTTTTTTTTTTTTTTAAATTTTACAAAAATGCAAAATAATAATAATAATAAAAAGTAATAATTTTCGATCGTCTCACACGTCTGAGTTTGTCGCACAATCGTAACAACAAACAACAAACAAAAAATTTAAATTTTTATTTTCGTTTGCATTTGAATGCATAACGTTTAATAATAATAATAATAATTTTTCAAAAAAAAATTATTTTGCGTGCAATAACGAAAAGGAAATCCACCTTCTTCCTGGATCCCCTCAATATATCCGCTTCACCTTCACTCTCCTTCCCCCCTTCACCACCTCAAAAGTTAAACTTATGTTAAGTTCAACGACCTTTCCCCGACGTTGTGAGACGTTCGAAATGTTTTTTTTTTTTTTTTTTTTCTTTTCTCTGTTATTTCCGTACATTTAATTATTATTATTATTTGTTTTTTTCTTTACATGCGTTTCTCATTGACCGGCCATGTTGATTTTCTAACCGAATAATGCCATTTATTATTATTATTATCAACATATACGAATGTATCGTATATTATTGATCGCTTTCTATTTTTAATTTCTAATTTTTTTTTTTTTCTTTTTTTTTTACGATTTAATTTTTGCAATTCAAACGAATAATCAATAATAATAATAATAATACTACTACTCAACGAATAACAAACAAACAAACAAACAACCACACGATTCACATTTTTAATAAAAATGAAATGACGACGACGACGACAACGTTGGATTGTTGTTGTTTTTGTTTTGGCATGCTTTTGAATATTAACAAAATGGCCGTTATATTAAGTTATGATTAACACGAAAAGCAGCCGATCTCACACATCGGAAACAACATCAACATCAACGGTCACGGAAACAACAAGATCCGGATCAGATCATTCCAGTACTAACAAGTTAAAGGATTTCGAAGAAACTTTTTCCAGGTGATGGTTTTTTTTCTTTTTTTTTAAAAAAAAAAAACTATAAATTAGTGAAATCGTTTCGTTTCGGACCTTTTCGTTTGTTTCCGTCGCTCACACATATAGCGAGCGATATCCTCCTGTTTCTATCCCTTTTTTTGCCTTGGCGCCAAAATTCAAAAATTTTTTTTTAAAAATTCCATAGATTAATACGAAACGGAGACACTTTGACACTTACAGAGACACATTCTCGATCGTTATTTCGATACCTCGATAATCGAGATCTCGATATATCGTTTTTGTTTTTGTTTTTTTCCTTCCCCCTCCCCCCTTGTTTTGTTTTGTTTTTAATTATTCTCCTTATTTCCGTTGGGAGTAAACAAAATGTTGACAATATTTTTAACCGTAATAATCGTACGATAAACTCAATTAATAATAATAATAATAATAATAATAATAATAAAACGACGAATATGAAACTATTATCATTTGTACTTGTTGTATTATGGTAAAAATTAAATTTTTTCAAATAGATTGATAAGAGCTTATTATCGATTGGTCGATTGATCGATCGATTGATTGATTGATAATGTAACACGTCATCAGTTAGGTTGATAGTGAGTAAAGGCGCGAGAATACACAATTACTATCCTTTTCATTTCTCTCATTCTCTTTTTTCTCTTTCTCTCTCTCTCTCTATTCCTCGCTTGAGATGTAATAATAATAATAATAATATTAACGTTTTTTCCTCTCCCCAACCACTCCCCCCCCGAGTGAATAAATAAATTTTTTCTCACCTGCCTTTTTTTTTTTTTTTGTAATTTACAGCACAACGTCAAACACTTCAACGTCATCATCTCAAGATGGCAGAGGTGGAGAACTTGCTAACACTTGGTACGACGGTTTGAATTCTCCATTGATCCAAGATCAGGGTGATAACAAAATGTTGAAATTAAGATTTGACGTGAGTCAGTATCAGCCGGAGGAAATTGTCGTCAAAACTGTCGACAACAAACTCTTGGTGAGTGTCTCTATAAAAAAAAAAAAAATTAACAAAAATTTAGAGGGAATTCGTCGTCGAAGCGAATTTTAAATAGAAAAAGGTTCGTTTATTGAGTTCGATTCGAGGCGGCGGTGGTAGAAAGAACGGTTTCCGTTAAAGATTTTCCGAAACCGGAAATTCCACCTTCTGGTTTCACCTCGGTGTCGTCCTCTTCGGGCCTGGGTTGTGACGTCATGGAATTTGAAAAATTTTTGTTAAAAAAAGAGGACAAGACAGGCGGGGGAGGGGGAAAGAAATGAGAGCAGAAAACATTTTGATTGTATCCATTGGTTTTTGCCGCGTTAAAATTCTTTTGGCAAATTTCCGAACGGTCGTTCTATATTTGTACCACCATTTTTTTTTTTTTTTTTTGTTTCGAACCGGGAGAAAATGAGAAAAAAAAAAAATGGATTCCGAACAGTTACGCAATTTTTAAAACTCGCGAAATTTTCGACCGTTTTTTTTAAATTTTACGTGGGTGTTATCATTATTATCGTGTCAGGTTTATTCCTTTCGAGTGGGATACCTCGAACTATAAAATCCCTCCCTCCCCCCCCCCAAAAAAAAAAAAAGGAGAAAATGTCAGAACTTGATGCAACATCATTTTTTTTTTTTTTTTTTTTTTTGTATTGAACGAATAAGTTTGTCGGATTTACGTCGCCGTTTAAATGACTTTTTCCCCCCCCCTTCCTCCCTTCCTCCCTCCCTCTCTCCCCTTTCCTCACGTTCTCCCCCCGCTTTTTCAATCACCAAAAATAAAGTAGAAATTTAATGGAAGAACCATTTTGAAAAAACGAATAATATAAAGTGACGTAAAAAGTTTTTTGAACTTTGAACTTCGACACTCGAAATAGCTTTTAACCGTTTTAAAAAAAAAAAAAAAAAAATATTTCCAGAGTCACATGTTATGTTTTTTTTTTCTTTTTTGGGGGGACGGGAGGGGAGGGGGGTTTAATTACGGCAACAAAAAAAAAGTAGGAAGGGAGGAAAGAATGATTTATATACGTCCGAAAAACCTTTTTAAATTTTTCTAATAATAATAATAATATTAATATGGCGACCGAACGTGATATGATTTCGGATATGAAAAAAGAATTTTTCGCACGCGAACTTTTTGATTTTTTTTTATATATGTTATCGATACGGATAGTTTATTATTATTATTATTATTAATTATTATAAAAGGTTCGATTCGTTTACTTTTCACTTTTTCTTATCAGCCGACATTTTACTGAGAGCAACAAAAAAAAAAAAAAAAAAGAAAAAAAAAGTGAAAAGGTCAAATAAAAGTGACGCGACTTCGCGTTCGTCTTCTTTTCACCCCCCTCGATTCCTTTTTTTTAGACTCCCACTCCCCCTCCCTACCTTCTTCCCTACCCCGTTCCCTTACATTTTCTCATGATGAAAAGCAAAATGGCGAGTTTTATGAATGATGGATGGATGGATGATGGGCGGATGACTGGAGAAAAAGAAAAAAAAAATGGTTGATCGTTATTTACACGCCTTAATTTACGCGGATGCACGTGACACGACGTACAAATATTTAAACTTTAGTAAAATATCGCGAGGTCATCGTCATCGTCGTCGTCGTCGTCGCCGTCGCCATCGTCGCAAAATTTAAAAATTTTCGTCACCGTCGGAGAGAGAAAAAAATACGCGTGACGGAAATTCGACAATAAAGTTTAAAAAAAGAAAGAAAAAAAGGGTCGTAGAAATATCGAAAGGGCACACAAACCGGAAATAGAGAGAGAGCGTGAGAGAGAGAGAGAGAGAGAGAGAGAGAGAGATTGAAAACAAAGATGGCGGATGAAAATGTCGGAAAGCGCAATACAACTCGAAAATTTTTTTTTTCTAATTTAAAAAAAAAGAGTTGTCACGACCGATGACGACGACGACGACGACGACTTTTATTTAATTTTTATTCGTCCATTGTTATACGTCACAGGTACGAAGGTTTATTTTTTATTCCACCTGCGTCATTCGCGTTATGTCAATATCAAATATCATTAATTGTATTTGAATAAACGGCAGAAATTCAACATATAAGATTCGATTTGTTTTCGATTACGCAAAACGAAAGAATCTAATGCCACGTTGGAAAAAAAAAAAAAAAAAAATGAAAATGAAATTTCGTAATCATTACGAACGAAAAGGTTAATCGTTTTTTTTTTTTTTTTGTTAATTTTGGCAACAATGTTTTTTTTTTCTCACTCAAAGCGTACGGGAAGAAAAAAAAAAAAAAAAAAAAAAAACGTGGAATTAATTAATTGACCAAAAATAAAATTTCCAGGTAAGAAAATCGATTCGATTATTAGGAAGGAAAAAAAAAAAAAAAAAAATTTTTTTCTTATTTCCGATTCCTTTCACAATATTGGGAGACGTGTCAAACGATGAAGGGTTACCTTTTAGGCTTCAAGGTACGATATTGAAAATGGATACAAATGACAAAAAAGTTTTCAAGGAGGAGGAAAAAAAAAGAACAAGGAGGCGGAGGCGGAGGCGGCGGCGTCGGCGACGGCGATGTCGGCCATTTTATTATTAATATAATTTGAAATTTTTTAAATTAATAAATGAGGAATCGTACTACGGAGAGGGGAAAAGGGCGGGGAAATAAGAGGAGGTGGAGTAAAAAGGAATGGGAACCCCCCACTTTTCCCCTCCCCTCTCCCCTAAAAATCAATTTTCGTGACGCAAAAGAAAAAAATAATAATAATCTTATCAGGTCATGATAAGAAAAATCACGCGAAAACAAAATAAAAAAAAAAAAAAAAATAATAATAATAATAATAATAATAATAATAATAATATAAAAATGACTTCCTGGAAATTTTTCATTTTATTTTTTTTTTCAACCCGCGAAATGCTAATTTTTTTTTTTTTTTAAACCAAATCCGTTACTATTGTAATAAATTATTATTATTATCATTATCAATATTATTATCGTTATTTTAGTCACGTGTAAGTTGATATCGGGAAAAAAGGTTGAGAAAAAATTCCCCCCCTCCCAATACGGGAATTCCGCAAACACGATCGAATTTCGATAATAATAATAATGATAGTAATGATAAATCACGTGATTTAATTAAATCGTCGTGTCACGAGACATATGTTACGAATCGTCGAAAAAGAATAAGAAAGAATTAAGCAAGACGCCCGACGATCCAACGGGGGGCCAAATTTTACGCACCTAAATAATTTCAATTAAAATTAATTTAAAACTCGACAGAAAGAACGAGAAGAAGAAAGAAAGAAAGAAAGAAAGAAGGACGTCAAAATCGTCAAGGGTTGCCAACTTTTACAAAAAAAAAAAAAAAAAAACAAAAGGACGTAACGGCGAAAGCACACAAAAATTAAAAAATTTTTGGCACGACGAACAAAAAAAAATTTTTTTTTAACGAAACTCAAAAATTTCAAGGTTCGTCTCATAGGAGAGGAAACAAGACGATGATCGATATATCGATCGATCGATCGATGTATCGTTCGATACGCAACAACCATTTTCAATTTTCGAAAAAAAAAAAAAAAAAAATGATTGTGAAAGGACGTCGGGGGCGTTACTAATACCCGAAGGTGTGAGTACGTGCGTGTGCGTATGTGCGTGTGCGTATGCGTATGCGAGTGAGCGTGTGAGTGATACCTATCAATTAAATACTCGAAGGTCGTTAACGATAATCAAGGTCGAAATCATTTTCCCATAAGACTAAATAAGGCTCATTTGCGGTAGATAATGATAATAATATTATTATATAAGTAATACACATTCGAACCGGTGTCGCCGCCGCACGGGAAAAAAACGAAATTCCCCTCCCCCCTACGCAAATCTTTTCGTAAGGGATGCTCGCGTACTCATAACGAATCATCATTTAAATGCCCAACTTTCCGTTTAAGGCACGATTCGTTGTTGAGTAGGCGTCGCGACCACGCATTTCTTCATCTTTCAACGGTTTTCCCGTTTATTCGTTTTTTAACGTGGCGCCGGGAACGCGTACGAAAATTAATGATGATAATAATGATAATAAATTTTATTTTATTTTACGAATTCGTTTCAGGTTCATGCTAAACACGAAGAGAAATCAGACAGCAAATCGGTTTACAGAGAATACAACAGAGAATTTTTACTACCCAAAGGAACTAATCCGGAATCGATAAAATCATCCCTTAGCAAAGATGGAGTTTTGACCGTCGAAGCACCACTTCCGGCCCTGACCGGCGGAGAAAAAATGATTCCGATAACGCATTGAAAAAAGTAGTTTCACTAATAATAATAATAATCATAATAATAAACAACAGAAACAACAGGAGCAACAACAGAAGAAGCAATAATTAATTTAATAATAATAATAAAAATAATAATTTAAAATTTTTAATTTTTTCGCCGCCGACGTCGCCATTATTATTATTATTATTATTGTCGTTATTATTATCATTGATCAAGAGTTTTAAGAAAAAGAAAGAAAGAAAGAAGGAAGAAAATTTTCCTTTTCCGAAACGAATTCCGTAACTCTGGAAATTACGACGACAACAACGACAACCACGATGATGATAATGATAGTAATGATAATGATAGTAATGATAATGATAATAATGAGCGTTATTAATTTAAATGACAATGAAAATAGATAATTTAAATATGAAAAACAAAAACAAACGAATAAAAAATTATTTTTCAATCGACAACGATCCTTACCAGTTGTTTGTTTGTTTGTTGTTTGTTTCTCCAAAAAAAAAAAAACAAACAAACAAACAAAAAAAAAAAAAATTTGTTTCCCTTTTCCTTTTTCTTTTCTAATCGAATAACTTAATAATAATAGTAGTAATAATAATAATAATAATAATTTACTTGATTTTGTGCGTTGCGTATCAGTTTTCCTTATTTTTCCTTTTTCTTTCTCTGTTTATTACGTTGGCAAGGATCGGCTAAAAATTTTTCTTTTATTTCATTTTTCTCTGTAATTTTAATTTATTACGTCATCAGTTTTTGTTTTAACTTTTTAATAAACGAAAAAAAAAAAAAATTATTAATTAATTAAATAAATAAATTTCTTTTTTTTACAACACCCATCCTATCCCCCTTAAGTAAAAAATAAATAAATAATGACGTCATCAATTTAAAAACAAACCACGCCCATTTTTAAAAGACCCAGACACACACGCAAATACAAATATACATTAGGGGCATTTTAAAAATTAAAAAAAAAAAAAAAAAAAAAAACGTGGGTAAAAGTAGTAGTACCTGTTGACGTCACGTCCGTAACTTTTCTTTTAATTATTATTATTATCATTGTTTTTTTTCTTTTCTTTAAATTAATAAATTTTGAGGTTATGACGACGACGACGACGTAGAAAATGCTCGTAAAATACACGAACAAACCTGGAACGAAACAAACAAAAAAATGGCATCTTTTTTATATACAGTTTATATATATATATTTTAATCATCTCAAACCTTTTTCCATTGAATTCTTCAACATTCGTATTGTTATGAGTACAAACAATGATGAAAATTTTACAAGGTGACGCGTTGAGCGAATCATAAAGTTGTGCAAACAACAACCAACAAACAAACAGTTGGCAAAAATTAATGGCACACTAGTAGACTTGACACGGTCTACTATAATCTATAGTCTATAATTATTTCTTTTTTTCTTTTTTTTTTTTTTTAAATAAATCACCACAAACAATCGTCTAGATTTTTAAAAACTTCAAAATAATTAACTTTTTGCTTCACGAATTCTCTTTTTTTCGCCGTGAAATTATCGTATTGGATTTTTTTAGAATCCTTCCCATTTTCCACTTCCGGCGTGGAAACCTCTGGAGTTAAATAAAATCTTTTTTTCCTCGTACCGGAAATGGGATTCACATCGCATCGGAGAGCGTAAAATGCGGAATTTTTAAAAAAATTCCCCGTCGATTTTTCCAAATTTTCCTCGTGAAAATAATCGGGAGGAAAATTGTGTGGATCTTCTCTAGCCACTCCCCCTCCTCCTTCTCCTCCTTTTTTCATCCACGCATTCAAATCCCTACCGTTTCCTTTTTTCAAATTTTCTAAACTCTTCGATCGGTGTACTTTATTATTATTATTATTATTATTATTCCTTCCGCTTTTCCTCCCCGACAAATTTCTTTTGTCCTTTTTGCAAAAATTCAAAGTTTTGACACGAGGTATTTGAGTGTTGAATTCGAAGATGTCCGACGAAGAATACATTTTTAAACGTTTATTATTATTATTTTCCCGTGACTTTGTTTTTCTCCTCCCGGAAAAATTTAAATCCCTGAAATCCACCAAATCTTTCCCTCCTTTTCCCGTCCAATTTTTTTCGTAAATCCTTCTTAAATCTTTCAACCTTTTTTCCTTGTCCTTGGATTTGAAAGAATCTTCAACATGTCCATCCTCCGAATTCTTCTCAACTTCGGATTTTTTCACAAACGATTTTAATGTTTCGTTTGCTTTCAGCAGCAAACCCTCGGATTCGTTTATTTTGACGAAAATGACATTTTCATCTTTTTCACCTGAATAATCCGTTCTGTAGTCTACTGCCGACATCGGAACTTTGAACGTTTCACTCTCGCATTTTTTTTCCCTTTCTTGCCAATACAATTTCATTTTCGATATGTCTATTTTGTCTTTGACGCTTTCTTTTTTCCTATCGTCCTCGACGTTTTGACAATTGTTCGTGTATAAACCGGATTCGATATCTCGAACGGCTTTACGAACGATTTGACTCGATTTGATTCCCTCGTCGTTTTCTTCCGCGTGAGGGATTCCAATCGTGTTCCACGGATCTAAGGTCGACGAACACGCGTTGTTTTCATTGTTGACTGTTGATTTTTGATGACTGGGAACCCGTTCAGTTCCGAAGCAATCATCCGTTGACTCATTTGTGTCATTGTGTTGTACAGTCCCACTGAAACAAAAAAAAAAAAAAAAAAAAACGCGTGTTTGTTTATTATTATTATTATTTTTTTTCCAGACTAATTTCCAGTTCGAAATTTTTATCAGTTTTGATTTAAAATAGAAATGTTAATAATAATAAAAAATCAGTAAATCAGTAAATTTTCTCTTATTTCCATGGCGTGACTTTGGAATTTAAGATAAAGAATGCCTTATTTGTATCCACCCATGGTACGTGACCCTGATATATACATTTTATTTCAACCATATAATAATAATTGCTTATGCACAAAAAAAAAAAATTTGTACCTTTCAAGGTTCCCAGTCATCCACCTTCAGGTATTTTTACACCTTTCGTACGTTCCTGTTTCGATTCCGTAATTTTCCTCAGGATAAAAATAACTTTTGGATTCGCCGTTTATTTTATACACGTCGAAATTATTATGAAAACCATCCGTTCCGTTCGTTTCGTCGTAACGAGGAGTAAAATAAACGTTCGGTTCTTTATTCCTTTGACTGCGATAAACCTTTTTTCCTCTCATTGAATTTTTCTTCATCGAATTCGTGTTGGATGTCGATTTGACTTCGTCGAAACGTTGAAAATGATCATTTCTCAAAACCAGAGGCAAACATGTTGGCGAATCCCTATTGGGTAATCCCTCCAACAACTCGTCGTTGACGTTTAATTTATTCAAAAAATAATTATCGGGATTCGTGAAATTTTTTTCCACGTCGAAGAGTGTCGAATGATTTTTCGAAAAACAATTATCATCGACCTTTTGAATTTGAACGGCGTTAGTTTTCGTCTCCGACGACGAAATCGGGCCCTGATTTTTTTTTCCTTCGGATTTACCACGGTTTTGAGACTTTTTCGAAACATTTAAATTCGTTTCCGACGAATTTAAACTCGTGGGGATCCTGTTACGCAAACAAACCAAAAGAGCGCATAAAAACACGAGCAATTGTACCGCGATGAGAGCTAATCCTATGGTGAGAAAAATATTCACGTGATCTTTGAACCATGAATTTAACTTGTCCACGCATCCCTAAAAAATAATTTAAATCTTATGAAAAAAAAAAAAAAAAATGACGTACAAAAGGAAAAGGATTTTACGAATAAGTCCGATACCTTCACGTGTCTTCCATATTGATACCTGGAATTTGTTTTTGCCTGACAAAGAGACGAATTGATGGGTTTAGGATCTAAAAAAACCGAAGCGTCGTATTTTGAATTCATTAAAAAACAACACGAATGTGGAACTCGAAGATCGTGTTTGGTCTCTTGTTCGCGTTTCCACCATTTTGAACCGTCATAATCTGACCCAGATTGCATTCCGCAACATTCGAGCTTATTTAAAAAAAAAATATAAAATAAATTATTTGCTTTTTGTAAATATTGAAAAAAAAAAAAAAAAAGTTTGAGTTACACTCACGAGAGTTTGAGCCAAATCAACGGCAGCCGTGTACTGACTCCTCCCGGGAATCCCATAATTATTCATTAATCCTTCAACCATTTGATCTCTGTCGGCTGCAACTCCAATAACTTGAGGACAAACCGCGACGACGACAACAAAAGACGTTTCCGCTAGTAACAGGACAATAAGCAACATCATGTACTGAAAACAAATAAATAAAAAAAATGTAAAAAAAATTTTCATCTTTGATTTCGAAAACATTCCAGTCCGAACTCACCAGTCCCATCAAGCAATTCGAATCCGAATAACAAGATGCCCAACAGCCCAACATGGCGACAGCACATACTACGAGACCAGCAGATATGAATGCCAAAGCAACGTAATATAATAAAGGTTGCGAAATGATTTCAGGTTCGATAAATAATCTCGAAAGAAGAATTCTCGGATAATCGTTGAGCAACACGCATCCCAATAATACCAAACCAACACCGGAAACCTGAAAAAAAAAAAAAAAAAACCCCAATATGAGAAAAAAGGAAATCCTGTGGGTCACAAAGAGTATAATTATCTAATAATACATATGAATAAAAATATATTTACGACGACATTTTTTTTTTTTTAAAAAATTAACTAGGGATGACAGATTTACGGGATTGTGTAGTAAAACTCGTAAATAACAATTAACCCTTTTAAATAACAATAAGAAATCGGAAAAATGAGGTCATCATACCAACCAAAAAAAAAAAATAAATAAATAAATAAATTCATCTGTCGACACTTCCTTTTACCCCCCCCTTTCCCCCCCAAATAAAAAAAATTCTTCTTTGTAAATAATTTTAAATAACTTACCAAAAATAAAAAATTACATAAGAGAAATGCAATTTTTCTAATATTTATTTTCATTTCGTTCATTTTATTTATTTATATCTCAACAATTCAAACTTTAAATCATTCCTTTCTTCCCATCGAACGCTGTTGGTTTCGTCTCGCAGGTATTTCAGGTACAACTCAAACTGATTTCGAACTCACGCATTCACGCACGCTACGTTTCGTCTCTAATCAAATTACGTAAAAAAAATTCCAACAATTAAACACTCTCTTCGACACAGATTTTCGAAAAATTATTTGTTATTGTGCGAACGTGATCGTTCCGATTTGTTGCGTTTCGATGATTTTTTTTTTCAAAAAAAAAAAAAAAAATTTCAAACGTGGAAGAACCCACAGATTTCATAGTCTATGGATAAACTTCATCCGAGTGATTTGCTGCCCCCCCCCCCCAGAACGTCACTCAGTCAGTCAGTCAGTCAGTCACGCATGAATGAATAACGAACCCAAATGCACAAAAACAAAAAATAGAAAATCTTTTAATTTAATTTTTCTGGTTTTAACATTCACTCTAAACAATTTTACGAACAACTACAAAGACAATCATCATCGGTTTACACACAAAAAAAAAAACCAGATAACGATTCAATATCTAAAAACAAAAACCGCAACAAAATAACAAAATCACATGAACTTCCATGATTCCAACGGTTTTCCCATAACAAAAAAAAATTATAAAAAATTTTCCAAACTTTTCCAGAAAATTAAAAACTCCCTAAAATGTCAAATTAGAATGTAAACAAGAGAAATTTATCGAAAAGTTTTACACACGATTTAAACTTGATGCAAACAAAACACAACACAACAACAAAACATAACACAAAATTTTTAATAATAATAATAATAAAAAACCTTGTACGTGTAAATGCGATGGAGAATAATAGAATGAAAACTCATTTCGAAAACTGATAAATTGTCTGAATGGAATAAAGTTCCGGGGTGTAAACAACCGACAGGAAACACGGATGAACAAATTTAAATGGTAAACAGGTTGGACTTTATGGTATAATTAAAAAACAAAAAAAAAAAAAAAAAAACGAAGTGAAAGTGAATAAAAAAACTTATTATTATTATTATTATTTTTTGGAATAACCAAAAATTCATTCGTTCATGGAAAATGAGATTTGACAACAACCTCTCTAATTCTATGGAAATGTCTTCCCTTTTGAAACGGGAATAAGTTTGACAACGTTGGAGTAACAAACAACAACATGCGAAACCCATTTTTTTTTTTTTTGCGGGCGGGGGGGGGGGAATAATTAAACATATTCTAAAAAATTAAATTTATTCTCTTACTTACTGTCTGTCACTGCATCTAAGAGAGTTGGAAAAGCCATTTTTCTTTTTTTCTTTAAACTTTTTTGCTTTTTTAAAAATCTAATTTTTTCGATTTGACCGAGGAACAAGTCAATATGGCGGAATCGTCTTGTTCTCTTTCAGCAGAATCTTCCAATTCGGGTGGCAAGTGAAATTCCTGAAACGTTGAAAAAATTTCTTTTTTATTTTGTAACATATTCTATAATAAAATCGAATGAAAAAGTATTTTGACAAACCTCAACGACAAATTTTTTCCTCCTCAGTTTAAATGCTAAATTTGTTTTGTTAGAATTGAAAGCGACTAAACTGTTAATGGCTACCAATTTTTGTATGATAAAAAAACCATGGTAGTCTTTATATGGCACCACATTTTCACAATTTGTCCCTGCAAATGATTGAAGTTGTATTGCTATATCGCTAAAATGTAAACACTTATCAACATGACTATCCTGTAAAATCCAAAAAAATTTTTTTTCATTAAAATAACATTAATTATTATTATTATTATTATGAAAAATGATGTTATTTATTTACCTGAAATTTACTAAATGGTATGGTTATAATACAGGTACTGTATGTCTGCCTGATTAATGATCTCAACGAATATAAAAACTGATAAAAGTAACTCAGATTTATTTGATTGTCATTTTTCAAATCGTAACGCCATAAAGGAGAATCTAAAGAATGCAAAGCAATTCTAAGAATGTTTCTTTCTGAATTTTCTTGATTGGAAAAATATTTTCCTCGATTTAATTTTTCTTTGATGCAATCGTAAAGATTTCCATAATGACTGTTTTTAAAAGAATCCCCTGTGATATCTGCGACAATTAAATCACAGTTAAAATTTAATTTCATATATTTGCTTAATTGACTCGATTTTATTAAATAAAATTTAGTGGATATACCTGTACCACCAGCCCAATATTCGATGTCTGATTTTTAAAAGGCCAATAATAATAATAATAATAATAATAATCCTTACTTGATTCGGATTGTTTGGTTGCCCTTGCATTATAACTTGATCTTGAGGTAAAATTTGCATTTGACCAGAACCCCTCGGGGGCAATTGACCTCTTATCTGTTGATGCATCTGCATTCCGGCGGGATTGTTTTGAACGGCGGCAAAGTTACCTTTAAAACGTGAAGAAACATATTTTTTTTTTTTTTGTTAAAAACAATTTTAAAACAAAAAAAAAAAAACAAAAGAAAAAGACAAAACAAGGAAAAAATTTTGTTTTTACCTTGATGAGTGGAAAATGGTCGAACGTGACTTAGGCCAATGTTTTGTTGTTGTGACATTAGAATATGCCTCCAATCTGCGGCACCTCCTCGATTACTCATTGGCATACCATCCGGTCCGACGCTCACGTTCGGCGGTCTCTGTCGTGGAATGTAACCGCTCGGCGCTATGTTTCTCGTCATTCCTTGATTACCCATAAAAACGGTTCCTCCTCCTCCTCCTCCTCCTCCTCCCCCGTGTTGAGGCCTCATCATTGGACCTGCTTGATATTATCAAATAAAAAAGAAAACTTTTAATATGGTCGTCCGTACATACGTTCGCGAGACAAGACAAAAAATGTCCAAATGGCTAACCTGAGGGCGGCATGGGTTGTTGTCCGGGTCCCTGTCTCCGCGTCGACGTCGCCGTAAACCTCTGCTGTTGAATGGAATGAATGATTTGAGATTGAGAAGGTTTGTATTCCGGCGGCGGTGGTCTTATGCCCATGTGTTGCTGTTGCGCTCGTATCATTTGCTGTTGTTGTTGTTGTTGCTGCTGCTGCTGCTGAAGTAATTTATGTTGTTGTTCCGGACGAGAAACGGTTCCGACACCTCGTCCACGAAGATTTTGTTGCGTGAAATTAATCGTTTGAGATTGTGAAACTGTATACGAATCCGATTGCTGACTGAAAAACATTCCTTGCTGTTGTTGCGCAGCAACCGACACGTTCGGTTTTAATTCTCCCGTTAATTGCATGTGTTGTCCAGCAGAAACCTGCAGGAAAAAAAAAAAAAAATTTAAATGATGCCAACTTTATGGCGCCAAATAATTGAGTTTAAACGCGATTCTTTTGTCAAAGGAATCAAAGGTAAACCGTAAATGGAAAAAAAAATCATCGTTGCCATATCTACGTCATCCACACACGCACGTAAAAATTTCTTTTTTTTTTTTTGTTTTTTTTCTCCCCATTTGTCCAAAAGTAGTTTTTCCAGTTTCTTCGTTCTTATAAAAATTTCCTCCTCAATTTATGACAAACAATAAAAATGCATAAAACACTCATTTAAATATAAAAAACACGTACGACGCATACGCATCCGCACGCATTCACGCACGCACGCACGCGATTTCGATGCATTCCAGTATGCATGCATTCACACGCACGCACGTCCGCACGCACGTCCCCGAGGTGAAAAAACAAAATCAGTTTTTTTTTTTTTCTGTTACCACGTCGCATCATCATCACCTACACCCAAATCGAAGAACTTTTAAGTAAAGAAAATTCCATAATTTGAAAACGATCAAAAAGTTGGGTCGGTTTTTACCCCCCCAACCCCCCCCCCCCGAAAAATAATTTATCGTTCGTTAATTAAAAATTCTTTCTTTAAACAAACTCATAATAATAATAATAATAATGATAATAACCAGGTTTTACTCCAGTAACCAAATGTTTTTTTTTTTTTTTTTTTTTTCCCTTTCGGCATAAAACGACCGGGAATGAAAATAGATCGAGAGAATTCATAGGGAGGTCGTAAGAAAAATGTTGGGGAGGAGGAGTAGGAGTAGGAGGAGGAGGTGCCCGGAAACGACTTTTAGTTGACGCACTCTCACCCCTTGCAATATATCACAAACGCGTTACGTTAACGGAAAAAAAAAAAAAAAAAAAAAATGGAAGAAATTCTGGAGAATCTTCTTTCATCCTGTTTTCTCTTCATTTTTAACCCTTAAACGATTTTCTTCTCGGTCGGATCCCCAAATTTCTCGAAATTTCTAATCTAACTTTAAATTTTTCTTACTTAAAATTATATAAAAAATTTGCTTGGTTCCACGTCGACCAGAAAAAGAATAAGACAGACGAAAAAAAATGGGGGAGGGGGGAGGGGGTGGTAATTTATTACTACTTTAAGGGTGTTTTGCCGCAAGTTGCCGCCTCAATTTTTGTTTTTTATATTACCTAAAAACAAATCATACCAAATCGCAACAACCTGAACGAATTTTTTCATTCGAAAAAAATTTAATAATGATAATAATAATGATAATAATAATAATAATAATAATAATAATAATAATGTGAAAACGATCAACTTCGTGATCGGGTTCGTGCAATGTGGGACGAACACGCCGGATTTTTTTTTTTAAGCGCCACCACCACACATCTCGTCGATGAAGGCAGGTCAAGCCTGAAAAGCTTCAGGTACGAATAATTTATTTATAAAGAAGAAACCAAATAAAAATTCACGTTGAGAGAGAGAGAGAGAGAGAGAGAAAACTAGAATTCATGTTACTTCTTTGACAAATATTTCATGCAAAAAATGTTGCTGCTTTTTTTTTTTTTTTCGTATATGAGAAAAAACAAAAACAACAACAAAAAAAAATTTAACGATAAAAAATAACCAACGAACCAACGAATGAATGAATGAATGAATGAATGAATGAAATTTGTGCGACTTTACGAGAGAGAGAGAGAGAAAAAAAAACGTCGTTATGCTTGCCTACTTTCTATATAAAAGAAACTTTTTTTTTTTTTTTTTGTTCATCAACTCAATTAAAAATAAGCGAGTAAAAAAAAAAATTTTTTTTTTCTTCTGCTCTAAAAATTAACGTTTCGATACGATTTTTGTAAAATTCCTTGCTGAGAGAGAGAGAGAAAAGGTACGAATAATCAGGTTTTTTTTCCTAATTCTACCCCGCACACGGGGTGACGACGTCGACGACTTTCCATCAGGTACAGGGGGAACTATTAGCGAGGTTCGAAACTATTTGAAATGGCTTTCGGAAAATCCTACGACTTTGGAAGGAACGAGAGAAACGAAGAAATAATAATAATAATAATAATAATATTAATAAAAAGTAAAACAACACGTTTTGAACGATTCGTATTTCTACGAAAGCACCAGAAGAAGAAAAAAAAATATTAAAAACTTTTAAACGGATATCTTAAAAGAGAGAGAGAGAGAGAAAAGAAGGAAAGAAAAAAAAGGACGAAGGAACACGATTTTAAACGAAGACAGAAAACGAACAAACGAAAAAAACATAAAAAAACAATAATAATAATAATAACAACGGGAAAAAAAGGAAAATAAAAACGACGGCGATTCGGATTTTTCCATTACAAAAAAAATTGTCACCGTGAATTTCGGCCGTGAAAAGGATCAAGAGAGAGAGAGAGAGAGAAACGAATGACAAAAGATGTGAAATTTTTAAATTCTTTTTCTTCTTTTATTTCCTTTCCATATCACAAAATCCCGAAAATGAAAATGACAAAGAAAAAAAAAAAAGGGCAAAAAGAAACAACTCGAAAAAAGGAAGAAAAGAAAAGAAAAGAAAAGAAAATTTCTGTCAAGAAGCAAATATTAGTAAAACAGTCTCACTGCCACTTTTCAAGAGTGAGTAAGAGAGAGAGAGAGAGAGAGAGAGAGAGAAAGAAAGAGTGAATCGTAGGGTTGTGTATGTATTGATTGTTTGTCGGGTCACGGACCTCTTCCACCCTCCCCTCCTCCTCCTCCTCCCCTCTCCTTATTTTCCCTATTTTATTCCCTTTTGCCACCCTCCCCTTGCCTACGCCAATCTATGAACCGCATTCATCCCTTTTATCGCCCGCCGCTTTTCTCTCTCTTCCAAATCTCTTTACAGCATCGGATTGGCTTATTAACATAAATAATGAAATTTTTATTATCACTCCGTGTAAAACCCTCTCCTTTACTATTATTATTATTATTATTATTTATATCATTTCTTCTTCTTCTTCTTCCTCTTATCCGATACGTATGAAAAGGGCAATTTTCATTTCCGTTTTTCCCGCTCATCCCCTTTCCCCCGCCATTCTCTCTCTTTCTCTCTCTCTCTCTTTATTAATTTTTGAACATTTTAATTGATTGTTTTACCTTTTTTTTTGGTAAAATCGTCACATGTCAGATTACGAAAAAAAAAACAACCGACCGGAAACAAAATGTCGGAAAAGCTATTTCCGGTTTTCGAAAATATTAATTTTTTCTTTCCCTCCCACATAAAAGAACTTTTCATAATATATAATAATTCGAACAAACAAAAATTTTCTTTGATTTAAAAAAAAAATCCAACGGAAATTTTCCTTTTGGGGGGCGTGGGCGTGGGGGGGGGATGAAAGGAAACGAAAGGGAAAAGAAATTATTTTCGAATTCGTTCGTTTTAAAGCAAAAAAAACAACAACAAAATACTTTGAGCTTTTCCCTTAAAATTTTCTTTTATTTTGGCGCCATTTCATTAAAACCGCGTCGCGAGTAAAAAGGGGGGGGAATCGGGGAGGTCACGTCACGTTCCGTTATGTCACGTCTTGTGGTGGTGGTGGTGTGCGAGGAGAGAAATAACCGAAACCTTATCATTTCGATAGTACATATTGTTATATTCGGTTCGTTCTTTATTTTTGTAAGTAATGAACAAGCACTTAAAACTATCACAAAACTAATATTAATAAACAAGAACTTATTACAGCTAGACTAAAAATCAAATGAACCGACGCCAAGCGGTGTAGCTTGCCTATATTACTTTGGTCTTTCGTCAGTCAACTGTTTCGAACGAGCAACAATGGGAACTAGCAAACACTTGCAAATAAAATAAAAGAAGGAGTCTTTAGAAGCTTCGCTTCTAAAGAAGAACAATTCGAGTTCGTCGCCAGTCTTTTGTTTATAAAAATTTGAAAATGTGAATATTGAGTACGGGATCATAACACCTCCCCCCTTAAGACGGAAAACAATTATTTTGAAAAAAGAATTTGTTTTCTCCTCTTGTTCGGATTTGACAGCTTCCTATGTCGGGTTCTGAATGGTTCCGTCCAGGTTGAGACTCCTTGAGTAGTAGTAGGTGCTATGTCTTCTGTATGGTAGACTGTTGAATCTCTTCACATTGGCTTCTTATCAGGAACATAATTTTAAACTTTATAGCTGCAAGTAGTAGAACCTTTCCTAGGCAATACTCGTTAGTGAACAATGTTTCATAAAGAGTAAAGATAAAAGAATAAAATCAAGAGACATGAAATTCGAAACAAAATTGACATAAGTTCTGAAAAATATAAAAATTTTATATAGGAAACATAGAAAAGAATTAATGGATTAATAATAAAATAAATGATGATTAGCTATATGGGAAAAATAAAAGGATTAAATTATTATTATTTTGGATTTCTCTTTAGATCAACTACTCAGAACACGGTTTTGTGATAAGTAACTTCCTTGTTACGGATTTTTTAATAAAACGTTTTTGCCAGATATTTTCTTGACCTCGTATGGATCCTTAAATTCAGGACTAAGTTTTTCATTGACTCTTATGTTATTTTTAATTGGATTTGTTCTTGCTAATTTTTGACTGGTTTGAATCTTCTCTTTTTCATTAGACGATAGGTGAACTTTACTTAGTAAAAATAGCTTTACCTCAGAATAGCCTTTTCGTGAAATCAGTTGACATAAGAATGGATGCTTTCTTCCTAGATTTCTGGTACTGGAATTCCATTTCCGCTTTTAGTATGCTTCCCAAAATTATGCTTGTGAATTTT